ATAAAATAAAGTGATTCATTTATTAATATAATTTGCTCACTGATGATCTACGTTATATAATATAATAAATAAACTAGAATATAAAAAGTTGAATATTCAAAGGTTTTAGTCAGAAAAGCGTTACTTGTGCGATAAGTAGGTTCCAGGACTCATGTAGGGTTTCAATGCTCAAAAATACGTAGATAATTAAGCAGTTTCAGCTCAAGTAATAAGGTGTTATGATGATAAATTCACAATCGAAATAGCTACCAAGCAGTTGTACCTGAGCAGGTCTCGGATGTGTCTACGATCAAAGTCGTCGCATTCTGGACTTTTATATTCAAACATTTTGGTGGGTCGAATTGCATTAAATCTTACCACACTGGGGTCACGGTCTCAGATCCTAGATTACTAATCAATTTTAGGATAGCTTTGTTCTTGACTCCTCTCACAAACTACCTAACATGACAAGAATTACGGCTTATGGAATGTCACCAAGAATGATGACTTACGCTTACTGCTCCTCAAATGTTGAGCTTATTCTTCGTTCAATTCCACCTTGAATAAGTTTGACAACGTTGCTAGATCGAAAGCTATATCGGCACAACAGATACAGGACATCTTAAATAAGTCACAATGGCGTTCCAGATGGCAACAGAATGGCATGCTGGAGAGAAGGAAATGCACAAAAGTCTACGAGTACCTCGGAACGAAAATCCCACCTCACCATACCTTTCACCATTCGCTGCGAACCTCTTGGCCCGATCACCATTACTCGCCCTTGGCACACTCGATTCTTCCAACAGACCATGGACTACATTATGGGGCGGAGAGGCCGGTTTTGCCTGGCCGGTCGCACAATCTGTCATTGCTGTAAAAGCTACGATTGACCTCCAATATGACCCAGTTTCTGAAATTCTGCTGGGGAAGATTGCAGATGGACAAGTCAAGCGAGCAGAATCACCAGGGAGAATGGTTGGTGGTCTTGCGATCGACCTCGAATCTAGGAGACGAGTCAAATTATATGGTCGGATGGCTGCAGGCGCATTGAAAGAGACTGCTGGAAATTCAGTGGCGGAAGCCTCGTTGGTCGTCAAGATAGAGCAAAGTCTAGGTGAGCTTATCATTGCCCTAGCAGCTATTGCCATATACTAACGAAATTGCAGGTAATTGTCCCAAGTATTTGAACAAAAAGCACATTACTCCTCGATTGCCAAACCCTACGCTCCTCTCCACGACATTACCTCTGCCTATAGAAGCAGTTGATTTGATAACACGATCTGACCTGTTCTTCATTTCTTCCTCGAATCATGATTCTGATATGGATACGAATCATAGAGGTGGACCACCGGGCTTCGTCCGATTTCTCTCTAACGATACTAATGGACTAATAATTGTATATCCCGAGTACTCTGGTAACCGTCTTTATCAAACACTCGGAAATCTCACGACTACACCTCAGGCAGGACTAGTATTTCCAGACTTCAACACTGGCGATGTCGTGTACCTGACTGGGAGAACCGAAATACTCGCTGGGGAGAAGGCTACTAATTTAATCACACATACCAATCTTGCAGTTAAGATATACGTGCAAGATGTTCGATATGTTACTGATGGATTAAGTTTTCGAGGCGAAGAAGGTGAACGTTCACCCTATAATCCATCCGTCCGGTTTCTAGCTTCCGAAGCCGCTGTCGGGGTCAAAGATGCGGGTAGTAGGATGCATGCTAAACTCATTGAGCGAATTTTTTTGTCGCCAACTATAGCAAGATTTCGATTCAAGATTTTGAGTGAAAATGAAATCAACCATTGGAAACCTGGCCAATACGTCGCTTTGGATTTCAAAGATGAACTTGATATTGGCTATAGCCACATGCGTGATGATGATCCAAAAAGTTTGAACGACGATTACATACGAACTTTCACAGTTTCTTCGTCAAAAGATCCCACAAATACATACGATACATTCGAGATTACAATTCGCAAAGTTGGAACAGTGACCGATTTCCTTTTTCGCCATAACATGAGATCAGAGTTGGAAGTACCACTCAATGGTTTTGGGGGGGAATTCTTCATTGACCAAGGCTCTGAAGGAAAAGTTTCTTTTGTTGCTGGAGGTGTAGGAATTACGCCACTTATCGCTCAAGTCTCCGAACTGGATTTATCACGATTACAACTCTATTGGACTGTTCGTTTAGCTGACCTAGGACTGGCTTTGGATACTTTCGAAAAATATCCCAATATTAGTTCCCATGCAACATTGTTCATTACAGGTGAAATGGGAGGCTGTGATGATATGAATGAATCAACTGCCGTCAGAAAATTACGAGAATCTGGCGCTACGTTAAAAGAAAGAAGAATCGAGAAGGGTGATCTTTCCGAAGATTTTGCTAGTCGATGGTATCTATGTACAGGAACTGGTCTGCGTAACACCTTGGTGGAGTGGCTTCAGGGCAAAGAACTGAGTTACGAAGATTTTAATTACTAAGATTGTGATATTACTTTATTCAATTCAAACAATTGTTCGCAAATGAACATACTTTCTCTTTGTGCTCTTTCCTTTTCTTTGTCTGTGGGATGACTGGGTACTAAAACGTACCAGTTAAATTCAAAGTTTACATAGCTCGCTACATTCCTTTGTAAATTGGAGTAGCTTTATTAAACTCATCAAGAATCTCAAACATAGAGCTTTTGAAAAGTTGCATTACTATCTCAAGACTCGAACCAACATAATGGCAGCCAACAACGTTCATTCCACTCCCATCCAACCTAAATACGTCCTTCGCAATCCTTTAGTAGTAGGCGAAAATACCAAGAGTATCCAACTAATCCGGATTAAAGACAATGAATCTTTTCTCGGTTTTCCCATCCCTGACAAAAAGGTCTCATCCGACAAAAATCCAGAATGGAAAATAAGTCTCGCCTCCGCCATCCTCCCTACAGCTGGCGTTCCGCTCTCTCGCATTTTGAACCACCCGAACATCGTTGGCCTCGTTGATATTATTCACACAGACTCCCTTGCAGGCTCCACAAAACGTGCTGGTATAATCGCCAATATAGCTGTCTACGAAGACATGAATCAAGGCTCACTTGACCTCCTTCTTCCAAACCCAGAAGACTACCCCAAGTTTACCGATGTGGCAGCTTGGCGTGCCCTTGCTACTCCAAATCCCAATCGCTTTTCCTTGCCGGAAAGTTTGTGCTGGCATGTTTTATCCAATATTAACAAGGCGCTTCTGTGGTTGCATACAGGTGTGAAGCAGACGGATACAAAAGATGATTGGCAAAAACATGATGATGATTGGCAACCTATTTTGATAAGAGATGTTAGTCCGAAACAGATCTGGTTTAAGAGAACAGGTGGTGGAGCAACATATGGACAGTGTAAGTTGGGCGGGTTTGGAAAGGCGGTTGTGACGGGGTTTCCGGGCGGGAACATGGCAAAGAGTGAGAAGAAAGAGGGATTGAGCTGGTTTTTCCAACCTCCAGTAAGTCCCATCTCTATCTTTGAAGATTTGATGAAAACGTCATTACTAATAATGATACAGGACCAATTAGCCGGAACCGAAACCTGGGGGTCAGCCTCAGAGATCTGGGCGCTAGGCGCAACAGTCTTCACGATGATGACGGGAATTCCCCCACCTCAGCAATTCGAATATCAATGGGCCATGTCGAGGATGAGCGATAAACCATATACGAGTGGACTGAAGAATCTGGTGGCGGGTATGCTCAAGACGAGAAGTAGCGAGAGACCTACGACGGCACAGTTGGTGGGGAGAATTGAACAGGGCTGGGAGGAATGGAGGGCCACGGATGATGCGATTGGGTATGTGGATTGGAAGGACAGGAGTAGAGGAAGGGAAGTTAATTTAAAGGGAGAGGTGGAAGAGAAGCCGAGATTGGGGTGGGGAATCATTGAAGCTGGAGGCATTTAGCTGTTGCTTGCTCTGCGTGCTCGATAACTTAGGAGTGGAGTTTCGGTTTATGTTTTGGCATCGGATCGTTAGTTGACTGTTTAATCATTTTCGATTCGTATTAATCTGGGAGTTGTTTATCATTAACGTACGTTCACTTTTTGAAGATCTTCACTTACTCCCTTTCTTGGTCTCTTGGAGAGTTGTGGAGAATGTCTCAACTATATTAGTGACTGCTTATACGAGCCCCCTATCTTAAGATACCATCGACCTTCAAATTATATCTCCTGTCAAGGTGACTATGTCATAATCCCCAAGCACTCGCTCTATGTCAAGATCATCAACCAAGCTTGGAAAAATAACTGGCACTCCCTTCATTCCCTCGAATCCATACTTTTCTTTGCCCTTCTACTGTAACATAGGTCCTTTCTTCCATCAAATAATACATGCGGGGAAGCGATTACCTGTTTCGCACCCCTCTTTGGGATACATATACATCGATCTTCGTTTTCGCAGCACTTTCCTCTCACAACTTTCAACCCAGACTTGCTGATGCTCCTTTGATCAAAATGAAAGTTAGAGGTCGATTCGCTAGGGAGCCAATGAAACGCATTACAGTCACTGTGCACTGCTACTAGCCACCTATCAAAATCACACCAAAATTCATTAAAACTTACAGAATATACTTCTAATTTTTCAATTATAAAACCAATAGTTTATATAAATAATTATATAATTAGATTAAAGATCAAATGAAATTATATATAATAAATGTAGTAAAATGGCTTTTTTAGGTGTGATTTTGATAAGTGGCTAATAGCAGTGCGTTAGTACTGTAGAATGAAGAACTAATAATATCGCATTTCGGTTTTGAAATCACCGGAATCAGGGTGAATGTTGAAGGGTCAGAAATTTGAAGCCGATTGGATAGTGTAGATATATTCACTACAGACAATACAGCAGGCGTTGCTGGTCGCTTAGTTTTGTGTACCCGTAACTCTTCTCACGACAATTTTGTATTTAATTGTAAATTTTCTGTTACAGATATCAATTCTTAACCACAAACCTTTTTCTCTACAGCTGATAGCGGAAGTACAGGAAGCCAACATGGACTACATACTTGCTGGTAATAAGTGTTTTGCAGATATGGATGATGAGACTGCGGAGTTAATCATTCAGCTTCAGCTCGATGACATTGAGTACTCATCTTCCAAGGGAAAAGGTCGCGCCGACGATGTATCCGACATCTCAGTTGCATTCAAGATGCAGAAGGAGGAATTGGAAAACACTGCATTGTTCTTGTCGGATCAACGCATGACGAGAAGTATTGCATTGGCCGTACAAAACGATGGTGCCGTTGTGACTGAAGCGGTATCACGCGATGACATTTTTGTAAGAGATCATTCGATGGCTTTACAATTGTATCAAGATCCTTCAAGACCGGCGACTGCACCAGAGATTCCTCCGCCTGCTACACCAAATACACAGATTTTGAACGAGGAGGTCTTGCAAAAACTTCAAATACTCTATGTCTCTGGCGACGACTCGAAGGACAATAAGGCAGCAGAGCCGAATGGAACAGAGTGTAGTTCGGTGATTGGGTCAAATGCAGAGTCTTCTACATGGGCGGCCTCTCGACCTGTACCTTCTAAGAGTACTTGCGTCATCTGTCGCGACGAGATCAGCTTCTGTGATGCAGCACGAGTTCCTGGTTCATGTCGCCACGAATATTGTCGCACTTGCCTTGAGCAGCTCTTTCGCTTATCAATCAGCGACGAATCACTCTTCCCACCCCGCTGCTGCAACGAACCAATCACTATCGCTAGCGTCCGTCTTTTCCTCACAAGTGATATCGTGCGCGCTTTTGAAGAGAAGAGTATCGAATTTGAAACACCAAACAGAACTTATTGCTGCTTACAGTCTTGCTCGGCTTTCATCCACCCGTCCAAAATCGTCAATAACATAGCTACGTGTGATGGCTGCGGCACACAAACCCACACCTTGTGTAAGCTGGAAGCTCACATTGGAGATTGCTCAAATGATACCGCGTTGCAGGAGGTTTTGGATCTTGCTAGAAACAGGGGTTGGCAAAGATGCTATTCATGCTGGGGTATGGTGGAGCTGGAAGTGGGATGTAACCACATGAAGTAAGTCTATTACAATACCTCATTTTCAACTCTCAAACATACGCTGATATTTCAAATCATAGATGCAGATGTGGAGCCACATTTTGTTACACCTGTGGATTGAAATGGAAGACCTGTAGATGTCCACAATGGCACGAAGACCAATTGATAGCTCGTGCTACGGAGATTGTCAACCGTAGACCTAGTCATCAACTACTCGAGCGTCCCTATCAAGCCATTGGGCAAGGATCTACGATTGAAGCTCAAATTGCGGTAGCTGCGGAGGGTCTTCGAGAGAATCATGCGTGTGAGCACAATCAATGGCGCAAGATACAAGGATCTCATCAGTGTGAGAGTTGCCATCATACACTGGGACAATTCATTTTTGCATGTCGTCAATGTGAACTAAGAGTCTGCGATAGATGCAGACTTAATAGGTTGTAGTAGGAACGGATATGTGGGAATTGTTCAATCGTGTGGGCATTCTTGAGCTCTATTCATGAAGCTGCTATTGCTGATATGTCAGTTTGTACTTTCTATCAAGAAGCACTCTTGTACATAACATTTTTATACCTTCAAATAAGAATTAAGTCATGGCCAAAGGTGGTTCTAGTGTCATCTCATTTATTCGTTGGAAGCTCCCCAGACAAGAACTGCTTTGACAGCCTTCCCACTCAAAACATCTGCTTTAGCCTTCTCCATATCTTCTGCGTCGTATCTCGTGATTAAATCCGTGAACGGAAACATTCCGTCTTTCCAGCCTTGAATAAGTCTTGGAAGGAATTCAGGTGGATAAGAATTTCCCATACAGCAGCCTACATATTTTCGCCCAGTATTGACCGCGCTAAACATGTTTATCGACACAGCAGCATCAAGCTATGTAGTCAATCAGACTTGCGGGTAAGGATTGAATAGAATCTAGCGACACATACCTCTCCGACTCCTACACTGCATACTGTTCCCAATTTTGATGTTGCTTCCAGTAAGTCTGCAACAACTTCCGGTTTACCAGTGGTATCGATCGAAGCATCGATCCCCTCGAAGTTTGTTATTCGTTTCAGTGTACTTTGCAAGCCTCTTTCTTTGGTTGGCTTGATGACATGTGTTGCTCCATAATGTTTAGCCAATTTTAGACGCTCGTCCAGCATATCAACTGCGATGATTTGTCTAGGCTTTCTTTCTAGAAGGTTGAGCGCCATGATAGCTGCTAATCCAACAGCACCTGCTCCAACAACGCAAACGATGTCCTCTGAGGATGGTTTGAGAACGTTGAGCATTGCTATGTTCTCTTTTTAGTATTGTTTATTTTGGGGAAAAGGTTAGGTGAATTAAAGAAACTTACCACCAGCACCTGCCATGATACCACAACCTAGTGGTGCGAGAGACGAAAGATCCAAATCACTTCCAGGCCCTCCAACTCTAACACAACATCTGGCATTGGCCACCGAAAAGTTAGAGAAGCCTGTTGGGAATTAATTCGGTTTGCCAGACTGACCCAACTTTGATTAATACTTACAACTCTGGCCGAAAAAGTGACTTGTGATTTCCGTCCCGCCTCCTTCCTCTTCAGAGGGGATTTCATAAGCTTTACTCCCATCCTCCCCTCTGCCTATACCGAAATTATCAAGCTCCCAATCACCGCAGAAGCTCGTCTGCTTTCTCATACAATACTTGCATTCTCCACAACTCGTGTAACTGAGAATGACATAATCTCCGACCTCAACATTGGTGACTTTCAATCCCACCTTGGAGATTATTCCAGCTCCTATGATACACGTCAGTCAATCATGTGATAGCAAACTTATGGTTACATATTACTGACCTTCATGACCCAAAATAGCTGGAAACATGCCATCAATATCATGTTGACTAAAAGTGATATCGGTAAGACAAATTCCCGTCGCTACAATCTGGACCAGTACCTCTGTATCACGAATATCGTCGTTAACTTGCACATCGCGATAAACAAACTCACCGCCCGGACTATTGACAACAAGCGCTTTCGTTCTCATGGTAGCTTATGTCTCTACACCGCGGGGGTAGTGGATTTCAACAGAGGATTTGTGTATCAAGTGGTGGAAAAGAGTTGGATATCACTTATCAGTGCGTTTGGCGATTTTTTATCATGTTCTGTCCATCTTCTGCAGCTGGCCACAAAGGGTGGTGGAATGGCCCACATTTGGTGTTAACTTCTTTAGGGGTCGTGGTACTCCACACGCCTGAGAAGAAGCGTGATACACTGTGTTCCACTCTATTTGACCTGTACCGGTTCCCGACGGCATTCATATTTAGAGCGGTCCACCCACACACTGATGCCCTGAAAATATATCACGAAATATTGATTCTCAGTAATCCAATGTTTGATTTTCATCGAGGATGTCTCGAGTATCAATTCTCTCCCAGCTTCTATTTTGTTAGATTCAGTGTATCGTATCTCGATCTCACAATCTTTCGACCCTAATATGGAATCCAAATCGGTCTTCATCGAACGCTATGCGTGCTTGAACGTTTCCAAAATTAACCCATCAAGAGGACTTTGGAGGGCCTACATATTAGTTTGTATAGGTGATCATCTCTGTATTTCACGTAGAGACATGGGCGCGGCGATCTTATAATTGAGCAATCGCGAAAGGAATATATTCGATTATATATTTAGCATGCAGCGTGCAAGGCAGTGGCCAGATTAGCAGTTAAATTTACACCTCAGGGTTGAAGAATGTCATATCAGAGTAGTAAATAATTTCAAACCCTTCCCTAAGGATTCATATTGGGAAGGGAACACAAGCAGGATCTATCGTTGAATGAGAAATTTCCTGGTCAGACAACCGATGTGGAGGTTGGTGTGAACACACAGTCGCCGGGAGGGATTGTTTACTTAGTATTCTCATTCTCTTTCAAAGCAATATGCATCCACTTTCACCATATTCTCTTCGCCGCCATCTCATATCTACTGATTTTAGAGAAATCATGTACGGCCCCCACCTTCTCCTTATCTCTGGCCAGCCTTTCCTTTTCTCTCAACTTCTTTAATGTTTCCGGGTCGTCATCATAAATCCATCGTTTCTTATCATCATCGACTTCCACCATACCCCAACCACCTACTCTCTTTCCGCCAGTCTCGTAGCTTCGATGTTCACGCATTTTCATGGTAGAGTAACGATTACGTGCAAACTTTAGTAAGAGCATTCCCAGAACGAGTTTGCAGGCGAGGAGAACAAAGAATGCACCGAGGAAGAATACAATCATGGTCAGAGATGCAATCACATCGTCAGTGCTGGGTAGATACCATGGTGTAATCGAGTTTGGATTTGGTAAGCCGAATGTTGATCGACCGAGCGCTTTCCGGACGATGGTATCGAAATGTTCGAGAGCTGCTGTTGTTGCAGGAGATGATTCGACTGATAAGGATGTTGCTGTTGACGGCAATGGTGGAGGAAGATGAGTCGCGAGAAACATGTGATATGTTTGAAATGCAGCGCGAATGAAAAGACAAGAAAGTGGTATAACTGGAAGACCAAGACGTTTGATAAGGTTTTGGTTGACAAAAGCCTAGAATGGTTAGTCAAAACAAGCAATTTGAGACTGAATACCTACATTTGTATAATAATCCTTGGCTAGAACATCGAGGAATCGTTGATAGATTGCTGGTTTGACACCATTGAACTTGCTGATGTATGCATGTTTGATCCAATCTACCAACATCTCACTACCTATCACTATGAAAAATGGCGAAAGAACCTCGCCTGACCACACTGGAAGGATAGTAAAACTGTTTGGAAGCATTGAGCTTGTGCGTAAGGGACTAGTTGCTTCTGATGCCGATGATGCCATACTGCTGAAGCCACCCATCTCAACAATATTTCGCAATGCAATAATCATGAGCATAAGCCACAGCTGGAATCTTTCCACAACATCGGCACATGTGAGCTGGAAGAGGTTGTCCTTTTCAAACTTCTTGAAAACAGTCCCTTTGACTTCCACGAATTGATTCGATAATAATAGAGTGATGAGAGCATTGGAGTATGAGTTTACAGCAACATTCAAGGTGACGACCTGGGTGAATAATGCTGCTGCATGAACAACATTGTATATGAGAGCAAGTATAAACATGCCAAGAGGTCGCAATACCTTACTTCTACCATCACTATCCCGCTCTAGCGTCTCGTCTGAAAATAAGCATTCAAAAATGTCCTGGCCTAGCGCAGCCGCAAGGCGATCAAAAACCTACAAAAGAATGAGTTACCATGCTTGCCAGGCTTGGCGGGTCGACATACCTCTAGAAGATTATATATAACATACAGTCTAATTGCTGACTGCGCTCTAATACTATGATACATCCTGCTTGCATCTAACTTCATTAAGAAAAATGAACTAAAAATTATTACAGCTCCTTGCAAGAGATCTGCTTTGTTATATGAAGATAATGAAGAAGGTTGAGACTTCATACGTCGATGTCTACGGGCCCAACCTTGTCTTGGTCTACGCTCACCGTTCAGTTTTGGGGTAGTTTCAGTAGTACCGGTACGCCTGAAAGTTTCAGACGGCCTTCCAGCTTGAGACTGAAATGAGGTTGCTGTTGACACCGAAGGTCTACTAGGACGTGACATACTCCTCGTGGGCGAAAGAGAATCGGCACTACGACGTTCATTTCGTCGATGCCACATCCGGCTTATACCATGATAAATAAAACCACTAATGAAGCGACATTCCTTGGCTAGAACATGACCCCACCACGAAATGAGAATACCTAAAGCTTTGAAAAATCGCAAAGGTAAAATGGTGAAGGTATAGAGCCAGGCGTCAAGACATGCGAAAGATCCAAAATATAGGACCTGTTCAAGTTGTGGTGGTAATAACAAAAAATTTAATAAACGCTCGAATTTGACTTTTGATGATTCGTAAGGAAATTCTGTCGAAGCTGAACGATATATATACAAAGGTGATGGCCTTGTAGCGGAAAGCTCGAGCTGTAGATAAGTAGGAATTGACATCGGGGGCAGAGGAATCGATTGGGGTATTGGCGATGGTGGTGGAATGTCTGGCAATTGTGAGGATTTACTCGCTCCATTGGTCACAATCGGGGTTGCCAACCCTTCGAGGTTGAGGCTTAACGATTCAGGGCCGCGACCAAGATGATATGGTTTTCTCTTTGGGGATGCCGGAACGGCATTCGGCTTGGAGTATGATGGCCATTGAGTCAGTGGCGGCTGAGCACCAAAGGCTCGGGAAGAGGGTAAAATCGTGGGCCTTCTGGTACTAGCATTGGCCTGGATCGCCTCTTGATAGCCTCTGTGCTCACCATTAATGTCTGCGGAAAATTTCACAGATTCCGGTGTAACAATTTTACGACGATCTGTCGATTCAGATGGTCGGTCCTCCATGCGAGATGCATCAGAACCGGATCTTTTACGCCTGTGTTCTTCGGCATTGCCTTGGCTTATATCGGGAGTCAATAACTTCCTGGGCGAAATCATTGGTAAGGATTCAGGAGCAGACGCTAATTCCGTCATCTCAGCAGCTGATAGTTTAAGAATCTTTTCTTCCCCAGAACCCTTTAAGGATAATTTTCGGTGACTCTCAACTTTTTCCTCTGCGATGTCATCCAATTGATCAGAAGGCGGTAGAAATTTTGATATGGGAGGCGGTGAAGTCAATTCATCTGTTCCAATGTGATTGGCAAAAGAAGGAAGGTTCTCCAATTTATGGAAAGACCCAGAACTGTTATTGCCAGTTTGCACAAGTGGGGTTTCATCTGCATTCCCAGGCCGCAACTCATTCACAGAGACCTGGGATGGTGATGAACGCAATGGAGGCGGGCTTGGTGAAGGTGTTCGTAGTTGTTTTGAATCCTTGATTGCTGGGACAGACATGGGGAGCTCGTCTGCGGATTGGGCGGTAAGCTGCTTGAGATTATCATGTTCAGGTGATCTCATAGGTTGCTCCTGGTTTCCCGCTGTCCCAGATCCCGCCCCTTGAGAATATGTGACATTCTCTACCGCCATCAAGTCTTATCGTGGTTTTTCGGATAGATCATTAGTGACGAATCTCCGATAAATTCGCTCACATGTATCAAAATTGGGTGGTGATGTGGAGTGATTCAAGATAAAGGTGTTCGCTAATCAAAGGCTACGGTAACCTCAATTATACCATGTCCCGTGCGAGTATCACTTGACATATCTAGCTGAAGATCTTACAAGATATCTGTTCTGGATATCTTCAATATGCCAGGAAACCGTATTTTACTGATAGATTTCAATTCTGAGTTATTTAGCAACAAGCTATCTCTATCCACATGAGCTGTTTTGAAAATGGTTTTTGCTCATCACGTGCATAGAGTATTATGCTCTTTCTGTACTAGCGGAACTTCGGGTGCTCAACCTTAATATCAGGGCATGCAAGCTTCGTTTGACGAAAACGGAATACCTCGATTCCTTGTTCCTTATTTCTTATTCATTGTATTCTATTATCTGTGAAATTGTAGCTCATTCCGTACACTATGTATTCTCTTGCTAAGTACACCTCTATCCCTAATTTATTTCCAGATTATGTTCATGATCTATACGACGAACGACACCAGCTTTTACCCATTGATATAGGTCTGTTCTCCTCAAGATTGTACCTAGCTGATATATCAATTGGTCATCACTATGAGCGACTTAGTTCTCTATGAGCTGCCTGATCTTGGGGCTATTCCGGTTAGTGAGGATAAGTTTGGGTTCCGAAGTATTTTCTTTTGGGTTACAGTAGTGGTAGCAGTATACTCAGCCTGGACCATTGCTACTCTGTTCTGGGAGCAGATTCCCGATCGTCTATCGTCAAGGGTTACCGAGCTTCGCAGAAATTCGACAAATATAATTCTTGGAACCACAGACGTGTTTACGGGTAATGCTGAAATGTAGGCACCCTTATTAAACATAATTAGCAGGCCCCATTTCAAACCAACAGCATCAGCTAATATTTTCTGTAGTGTGAGACCAAGGTCTGAAGATGCTGTACTGAAAGGCGATGTCGTGTATATCGCGGAGCCCACCTCCGACAATATCAAGAAAAATCAAGGCCTTATTTACTTTTCTGGTAGTTCGGGTATAGCCCCGGACAATCGCGCCCTGTGAGTTCCCGTGTAAATTTAACTTAATAAGGTGACTCAACTCTAACGATTTACACAGTGCAGATGAATTTGCCAGGGTACACTTCTATGCTCTGAATTTTTCAAATGACCTAACAAGTTTTAGGCCGGCTATATCACTGTAGTTATTAACTATTGGGGCAAGCATCAGAAGATAGGTCAAAAGATAGAAGGTTATGAAGGGAATGCTTCTTCGTGTCTGGCTAGAGCTGATACTATTAGTAGGTCACGGCCCATGGGAGACCAGGGATCCTAAGAGCGAGCCAAGTGAGAGAAAACGAGCCTCCATGATCAAGAACGCCTTGGATTACCTTCGTCATAACCGAAACTGTACCCACGTCGGTGGAGTGGGATACAGCGGCGGTGCCCTCCCACGTCAGTTCAGTTCTTCAATGAGACCTAGAGCAGTTCCAAGGCACATGCTAACTCTTCTAGTCATGAATTTGATCCAAGAGCGTCCTTGTCGTATCGAAGCCGCTTTCATGGCTCATCCTGGGCGTATGAAAACATCAGCATATGGAACGAGTAAGAATGATTGTTTCATTAATTCCTGCAACTTTCAGCTGTCTTTCATCTATTCAGCATCTAATATCTTTGAATGATTCTAGTCCAAACACCACTATCTCTTGCTCAGGCATGGGACGATCGATCGGTCGACGTACGAACTCGTCACGAACAAGAGAAGGAACTTATCGAGATGGTTATAACAACCAGCGCAGAGAAGGATGCTATCAAGTCGGGCAGTTGCCACCAAGAGTTCCTTGGCAAATGAACTTGTTCTCGGGTGTTGAGTATGCGTTTGCTGTCAGATTGCCAAGCAAAGGTCAAATGAGTAGAGATGAAATCTACGCAAAGCGAGCTGCCTTTTCTCAAGCAGTAATGTGGTTCGGAACCTATATGCCAGTCGGCGAGAAGAAGTTGGAGTACGACGTCTGATGAACGAAGAATGAGATGAATGAGCGATTATCATTCCCTATCACAATTTCTACCACGATGTTCTTCTTGTGCTTAAAAATTCAATTTTGAATAAATAAATAAGTTCAAGAGATCTATTTTGTTAAAAATAAAACCCATATACCCGATTAAAAATGCTGCAAAGTATCGCAAATTATCCCTCAGTACTTTTCAAAATCCAGCAGCAACTCATCATTCCGAATCTTCAATCACAATTGCGTCATCCCTGCTTCCTCCAGTATTGATTCTTTGCTCCCTCAGAATTCTGACGTTGACCAAGAATTCTTCATCCAAGTCCACATTTTCAATCATGTATTCTTCATCCGCGGATGCTAAATCTTCTTGATCCTCCATGTCTTCAACAACATCCACGTCACTTCCTGACATTTCCTCATCTGTATCTAAATCCTGCTCGCTCTCGTCATGGATTTCAAGAATTTCTTGACCTTCTTGATCTTCCGAGCCTTCATCGACTTGTATTTCACTCTCGTTTGAGATTTCCTTATCTGTGTTCCAATTCTCCTCGTGCTCGTCGTCGGATTGAAGATCCTCTTGATCTTCTTTGTCTGCGTCAATATCTAGGTCACTATCGTCCGATACCTCCTCGTCTGTGTCTGAAATCTCCTCATCCTCGTCCTCGCTTTCAGCGTCTGTTTGATCGTCCGTGCTTTGGTTGAACCTCTTTTCAAGTTGTGCGGTTACAAGATCGTCGATATCTTCATCAGAATCCGTCTCATTCCCAGCCAATATCTCCTCCGACATGTCCAAATCTTGGTCGGCTTCGTCATCAATTGCATAGAATTCTTGATCCACGATCGCCTCGTCATCTTCGCTCTCTCTGCTGTTATCTCGCTCTTGTAAGACTTTCCATAGTCCGTTTCCGAGTGCTCGTCCAAATGGGACTGGAACAGCATTACCGATTTGTTTGAGAGCATCGCACACCTTCGTGGTTTCCAAATCCCATATAAAGCTATCTGGAAAGCCCATAGTTCTAGCTAATTCCCTTACCGTGTATGTTCTGTGTAACTTCGGATGGTGCCTCTGATATTTCTCGTCAGCATTTCGATCTCTCATCAGTTATTGGGGGAGATTGCGGGCAACACACCCAAATTTCCGTCGAGTATTAATCAATCCCCGTAGTTATTATTTTGAAGGTATCATTTTCAGATAGTCTTCCAAACCTTCCGACAAACTTCCTATTCCGATGATCACTATTTTTCAGCCATCTCTCTGATTCTTTCCTCATATTATTAGGCAACAAAAACCCCATTCATTCTCCTATAATCGGCATTAGCTTCCAGTGGAACATTGCACACTCGCTCAGCCTGTTTCACTGAGATTCTGCTCGTCACATGGTTATGCAGAAGTTGACTACGACCAAATTTGCGCCTATCCCTCTGATATTCGGATGATGGTTTGGAGGCATAGGCTTGCTTATTTAAACCGACATATCTTTGATCCTTCAAGATTGGATATTGAGCAATAGTCTTACCACGGTCTATTTGCCTATACTCTTGTTGTGGTGTTTGCTGAATTTCTTGGTGAGGGCTTGTAAACTCCCATGGAGGTAAGTCTGAGATACAGTCTTGTATAGTGAGTGGCCGGTGCGGAGCTAATCTCCTCGGGTAAGAGGGATCCTTAGGAACACACTTGAAGACATTTGTCGGCTCAGGAAATTTTAGGAGCTTGTATCCTGGTAGAGAGGCCCAGAATATCACACGTCTTCTAGATGAGGGTACGCCATATGCACCTGCTTGCAGAGTTGCATATCGACATTGATATCCTAAAGATGTAAAAACCCGGAAGATAAATCTGTAATTTTTGTTAGTCGCATCTCACTTTGAGGGTCTCTTGGAGTACATACTTTATTCCGCCGCTTTTCAATAGACCCTTATCAAGAGAGTAATTCGGAATATTAGTACCGTTGAGCTATCACGATTGTTAGCAAAACTAATAATGTCAATATACTCTATATAGAGAAACCTACCGGGTGGTGCTTTAGGCCAGTGACATTTTCCAATAAGCAATATTTGGGTCCATAAAACTCCACGAAAGAGAGAAATGTGGCGATAGACTCTCTCATAGGACAGATAGGGTTCTTCAGTATCTTTTTAGGGTTATTTTGACGGTTTGCTCTACTCGACCCTTGGCAAGGAGAACCTCCTACAATCATATCAATTTCTCCTTTCAGAGGCATCCTCGGCATTATTTTCCCATTTTTCCCATGCACAATGCCTTGGAAGAGTCCAGCGTCAATCCTCATCGCCCGTTCTAAAAACTCGCCTGCATTGGTATTGTATACAATTGCTTCTGGAAAATTTCTGGAAAAAGTTTCACAGGCCGCGGTATCAGACTCAATGGCATAGCTGGTCCCTATCATTCCGCTTTCATGCAAGCCTTGGCTTGATCCACCTGCGCCACTGAAGATTTCCTTGTAAGTTGATCAGTATCTATATCAACAACGTCTAAGAAGGATTAATATGACCCTACCAGAGCATTTAGTTTCATCCCATTTATCTTATTCATTTCTTGCTTAAATTCTCTTTCGAGCTTCCGGTCATTTCCTTTTGAATATGTCAAACGTTGTTTAGGCATGGGTTTTAAGTTTTCGACTGTAATGGCATCCATTCCCAAATCGTTAGGAATAAATTCCTGAACCCAGAATGTGCCATCGAGGTCCCTATGAATGTTTAGATTTTCAATCTGCTCTATGTGCCTTACAAAGCAGTGTCCATCAAGATCCTTTGGATTTAACACCTTGGAGTTCCACTGAAACACTCTTCTATTTTCATGAATTGCAAACAGGGTGTTAATTTCGATTTCTTCCAATCTCTTAGGCTGAAAGTGGTCGTCATAACGTTCGTAATTATCCACGGTTAACTTGACACTAGGCCGACCTTTCAAGCAGTTGACCCTGATATCCTGTATTCGACCAATACCGTACGGATGTGATACTTTCGAACCGGAAGTGGGTTTTGAAATGAAATAAATGAAGTCTTTGAGTTGGTATATCGTACCTTTGTAAATGAACCCAGTAGCAGAGTTTTGTTTTTTGTTCCATTTCAATACCCTTAGCGGTTGTTGATTTTCCTGACATCTGACTCTATCGAAGGTGCAGCTCTCGCATTCCTCGAAAAGAAATTCTTCTCTCTGTGTTGCTATTTCCTTGGCTTCAGAAAAGCTTTGGAGCAAAGGATCGTAGCGCGATCGATAGAAGTATCTATCTGCGCTTCTGTTATACTCTTCTTCGATGAGCTCGTTTGCTGAGTCATTGGTGTCATTGGTATCATCGCCCTTTCCACAGAAGTTGACTCTGATTTTGACTCTTATTTCGGATTTCGAGATATTTGCACATTTGAAAGTCATGAATAGCTCTCCTCTCTCCATAGTTGTGCATCCCATGAAATGTTCTCGAGTATAAGAGCTTTTGAATCTTGGATCATCAACCAAATTTCATTCCTTCAAGTTGTTTCAAGATTATCAGCTTATTCTCAATACTACCATGAATTTTGAGGGTTCCTTGTTCGACGTATCCCATGCTCTTGAATATCATATAGTGTTCAATCCATAGAATGAGACTGATACGTGTATATCTTTCCAAAGCACTAGCGTAACTCACATCGCTCCACGACACTTTGAATTGCAAGATCATAGCAGTTCCTTAATCAATTCAAGATGATTATAGAGCTTGAGGCCATCAAATCAACATGAGTTCCAGCCGAGTTCTCTTCTAGTATAACATCTCGTTTATACAATCTTATCATATCTCCTTGAAGGTCTGTCAGCACATCATCTTTCATGTCGGAACACAACAAACCACCCCAATCAAAGAAATTCATCCGAAAGAATATGACATATTGTAAATCCAATACTATTGGTTATATCAATAGGATTCAAGTCGAGATACTATCAGATGTTAGAACAGCGACCAGATAGTTATACTAGCCCGTGAGTAGCTACTAGCCGGCCTCGAGGGACTTGCTCAAATCTTTTGACAACTTATTCAGTAATTAAACTCGATATCTGGTATCAAAACCATCCACTAGAAATCCTTTCGACATTACTCAAAAGATCATCCGACTACAAACATTTATCTCACAATCTCACCCTACCAAGGCAAAATACACAGACCCCGAAATATATACAGCCGCCATGATTAGATGACAACATCAATCAACTCTTGTATGCCGACTTAACATTGAAGTCGAAGTATGTCAAATGAGATTGTTTCTCTCTAGAATATAAACATCCACCTAATTCTCCACCTCGATTTCATCCCATAGCATACAAGATCACTAACAATATAAGCTTTCCCAAATGCACTTCATGATATCTCTCTTCGATGAAATCATTGATAACTTTCCCGCACGCAGCCGCAACGACTTGAACTTTCTCAATTGAGGACCTCTAATAAACAGTCTTGACGATAAATGTCTAATCTATTATCATACTTTGCAGTTTCTAATCTTAAGAGTACTCTATACAATGGTGCATCAAGTTCTACAGGTATATCCCCATTTGTCCCGCAACTTTCGTAAGCAACATATCCATTTGACAAGCAGAATATCTTTTCAGAAAAGATTTATCATCACTTATATGCAATCCTCAAACCCATCATTCCACTTGATATCGAAAAACTATCTATGTATCTACAATCCATTCTCATCCCATCACATATAATCTTATCTCTTCCTGCTTTTTCAAGTGAATGATCCCATGTCATCAGAATCTCCTCACAATCTTCCCCAATCTCCTCAAACCCCCACAAAATCCATATCTCCATCACTTCAACCACACCCAATCGGTAGGGCTCAGCATATTAGGTTTGGGAGTTGGGGTGAGATTGTGAGAGAGGAAATGGAGACTGTGAGTTAGATTGTGGATATGGATGAATTGGGAAGGGGCTAGTAAGAGGACGGATTCTTTATTCTTCGATCAGAAAGTCTAGAGTTAAGCACCGAAACAGAGCATTTATCGATTTCGAGTATCCGGGCATCTCTTTCTTGCTTGATCTACCAAAGATCTAAAGAGAGATATTGAATCGAGATAGTATTGAATGATGTATCGACATTATGCATTATATGCTTATATACTACTATGATCTATCTCAATCTACCAACGCCCCAAGCCATACATACAAATGCATCATCCCCATTTTCGCACCAAAATGCCATCAAGTAGCTTCCATAAAATGCAATGCAAGTAGCTTCCATAAAATGTAATGCAATGCAATGCCAAGCTCGCATCCTCATAAACAAACAAACAAAAATGCTCAATCCCAATGCCCATGCAAATACTCCCCCTTACTCACAATACTATCCTGACAATCCTTCAGATACCTCGCCTGTCTAGCCACCTCCGCCAATCTATCCAGCATCCTCCCATTACTCTCTCCAAACCCATAAACCTCATATTTCAACCCCGTTTCCGCGCAAAATTCCTTCACATATCCGCTCGCTTTCCGTAAATTATGTCTTGGCATGCGTGGGAATAGATGATGGGTGACTTGGAATTGGAGACCGCCGTGGAACCAATCCATCCACGTCGGACAATCTACATCCATGGTTGTGCGGAACATGCGTTGGATCCAGTGTTCGCTTGGTTCTGATTCTTCGGTTGACATGGAGAAGTGAGAGACGGTTAATTGGAGATGGAGAGGGAGGGTGATCATGTGACAGATGAGACAGAAAATGATGCGTTGGGAGATGGTAGGGATACTGCGGTAGACGAGAAAGTATCCAAACCAAGTCCAGAAGAAGATTTGACCGACGAGTTCGAAAATTCGTTGTTTGCGGTGCAGTTTGGTGCCGAGATCACGGAGGATAAAGTCCCAGGCGAGGTAGTAGAGATTGAAACGCGCGACTGAGAGGAGGAAATAATATGTCCATGCTTGTTTTGGAACCATGAATTTGGCAAACCAATTATAGTGCATGATACACTCGGAAGCTGTCGAATACAAAGAATCGAAGAATACCGGCGAGATGGCGATAAAGGGTAGGATTTGAAGATCTTGATCATGGGTTGGCGAATTCGTAACAATGTGATGAATGTTGTGATTGCGTTTCCACCAGCCTATCGAAAGCCCACCGCAAAAATTCAAAACCACACCACCAATTAAGAAATCGATATTATAATCGTGGGTTACTGCCATGTGGCCTGCGTCATGTGCTGTGGCGACGATTTGGTGCCAAAACATACCGAGGAATGCGGCACTGGTAGCATACCATTCCATACGAAGAAAAACCATCGAAAGAGAAAATAAAATCGTACATCGTACAACTTCCGTTACATACGCCGATAGTTTGCTGTCGTATAAACCCTCATCTTCTAATCTCGCAATTAGAGCTTGGAATTTAGTCTCCAATTCTGTGGCGTCCATCATCTTGCTTTCCAAATCGGGAATTTCTTCGGAATCAACTGAACTTCCTTCCGTTCGATTTCGTAGTCGTAAACCCTCTCCATCAAAAATGGAAGAGGCAGTGGAGCTTGCATCGCTGTCCGGATTTGATTGACGCGGCACAGCCAAAAGATTTTCGGTGACGGTGACATCAACCAAAGGTATTTCGGTGATCGGTGTAGAAGGTTCTTTTTCGATCTCATTCTCTGGGATCCAAAGTGATTGTCTTTGAATAGGGGGTATAATGTTTACCCATGGTTCTTCCAATTTACCAATTCGATAACGGGCCATTTGGGCCTTGACCTCCTTACTATGAAATCTAGATAAAGTCAGTTCCTACAATTCATCCTCAATCCTGCTCATATCAGTAACTCACGCATCCAATTCAATGGTAGCATCTCTTCCCACAACATGTAGAATAACTTTTGCACCACCGGGGTGACGATTAAGCCATGCATCCAACTTTAGCACATATCCCTCTGATATGACAATCGCGTGACCTTGCTCCACCAATTCTCTGATCTCCTTCAACGGCCACACCTTCTCAGTCCTAACTTCAGACGACGAATCCATAATAGTTGCTTTGACCAAAGTGTCAAGTTCGCCAGTTTTATTTTCTCTCGTGCGACAGAGCTTCAATAAAATGTGTTTTAATGCGGTACAGTAAGATTGGCGATTAGCGGAGATTAAATAAAAAATCAACACGACCCAATCTTAGATACGCCCCAACAGTGAGTGAATGACTTGGCGTGTAGGTATGGACCACGAAATAAGGACACCCGACGAAGGTTATGAATGAAGAGCGTTGTGGAATTGCTCAATGAGGAATGAATACAAAATATCTCAGGAGCCCTGTACAACAAAGGTGAAATCACGTGCATAAGCATAAACACAGACGATGAGGAAAATCAAACCAGAAGAGGAGAGTCGAAATGGGGAAGCTCAGGTATATAAAGCAGTAGTACGATGATGCCAAAGATTATCTGGGTATATTAAGTACCATTCAGTCATACGCATGATATCCCCTTTGGTTCGCCAACACAGCCCAATTACTGTTTTCTTCTGATGACCCATTGTTTTTTTTTTCTGTACCTCGCTGGCATGAACGAACTTTTACCATGGAGTAAGAATTCCACTCTCGGGTTTCACGGAATTTGACCTATCAGTGTCAGTTTCTACTTACGTCAAGCTAAGTTTACTCCTGTGCCGGTAAACTTGCACGGAGGAGTAGGTTAGATCAGCTCATCCTGTCAAGCCGATGGTGCTAACCACATATAATTACGATCTGATAATTTATTATCGTTGAATCTCCACTCAACCTGCTGTACACTACATAAAGTGCCGCTGTTTGGAGTTTATAGAGCACGTATTCGGGGCGGTGTCAGAGCTTGGAGCTCAGCCCACTCCCATTTCACTCCCTTCTCATGGCATGGGGATGTATATTAAATTGGTCCGGGACCATCGTTGAGATACACAGGGTGATGAAGATTCCACTGGTGAAAACCCTTTTCAGGTGAGAAGGAGTGGAAAACCGTCTTACCGGTACATCGTTGGCAAATTCTCCGTAACTTCCGTACAGAGTACGCAGGCTTCGCTGCTTACACAATTTGATTTTCGCATGTTCAATGGTGGATTCGTAAATTAAATTGGGGCTGGAGACTGTTGATTTGTTAGCTCTTACTCCATTCATGCCATTGTGATCCTGCTCTGCAGTGTCAATCTGACTGTTGAACCCCTATTTTATCAGAGGCTCAGTCAGAAGTCGTCACAATAACATTAGAGATTAGGGGTGGTTTGTTCGATGCTGTGTGAACAACGGTTGAATGAATGGCCTTAAGTTATACATCAAAGGAGCTAGTCTAAGAAGCAGCCTATAAGAAGCCTACTATTCCCTGTAAAGTAGTTAGCTCCTTAGATTGAATACACTTGACATTAGACCCTACATTTAGGTTCTTCGTCTTCCGTATTCTACACAAACCAACAGATGCGTCGTAGTTGCGCGACTAACAAATTCAGACAATCCGTCCTAAGTACCTGTCAACATTTTCTATTAGTTCTTAGTTCCATCCGCCAGGAGTGGGAATTTCCCTATCGACTCTCGCTATCAGCATTCAGATGCTTTCGCCTGACTGTTCCAAATAATGCATACTCCAAATTTTAATATTCACACTCCAAACGTGAATCTCGCATCCGACAAAGAATATCATGCCATGGAAACTAGCTATGAAGTAAAGTTTATTATTGACGCCAATTGAGCTCAATGGGTGGTGGTTATGATTCAGCTTCAGCTGGTGCTGAGGAAAAAGAAAGCAAACAAACAAACATGAGGTTCAAAATTAGACACGCTATCCAGCCGACTATAGCGATAAATGCCTTGTAGATAATATCTACAATGATGCCGTAAAATTACATAGGAAGGTAATGAGGTAGGCGAATCTTTATCATTCTCTTGTTTGCATAATTACAAGTAACGACGAGTACCTAGGTAGGTAATGAGGAGAGAAGACATTTATTATTAGATTGACATCGCGATTGTCATTTTCCATTGTACCCCGCATTCTAGCAATCTTCCTTCATCTATACCTACCCCTTTTAAGTGTTAGGTAGCTCGGTAGGGACTAAGGTTCGGACGGTGCTTCTAAAGGGAATAGTCGCCAGTACTAGTAAATCACTAATGTTCATTTCTTTTTCTAAAGATTCAAGGCTATGATCTAGAATAGCATCTTCGTTTGTACTCCTCCAAGTGATACGTACTTACAATGTCGAGCATAGTATCAACGCCAATCTAATTGCGTATTCATACATTTTGAGCCGAAGCCGCGACAGAGATACTCACTAGCCCTTGTTAATGTTCGGAATATCCGTTTGCTTCAATCGAGGGAAAGCTTTAAGAATTATCAATATGAATTTCAAAGTGCTTTTGGAGCTCTGATTCCTTGCTGAATAATATCATTTGATGATGAGTCGAACAACAGTCGTTCTTATGCGAGTAATGTCAAACTTTGTCTGTACAAATAACGCTTCAGCTGTTGGAACAGTGTGGATGGGAAAAATCTGATCAAGTGTATTCGTTGAGTATCGGGAGATCATTACTCATTTGAAGAATTTCAGGAAGATGTAGTGTCGGAATTCTATCGAAAGAGTTGAAGTTACTTCTTGATGGAATGTATGAGTGCAAATTTTGAGTAAGTGACCGATAGGTACCTAGGATTGTTTCTGCATGAGTCTATTTCTAAGATATGCTTACGAAAAATTCAAACGCGGCAACGAAGAGACTCTCTTATCAAGATCACCTTGTTCTAATTGACGACTTCACTAGGTGAAAGAGCCATACGTCTCCACGATCATTTCAAAGGAAATAGAGAGCCTCATAATAATACAAAAGGCTCGATGATGATACAATCATCTTTACCTTCTTCAAAACCTCAGAGGTAGGGTAGATTGCCAGAAAAATAGGCACTATTCAGCAATCATTTGGGCAGATGCTTCAGTTCACAGTCATAATGTGTATAGCAATGACTCTAGTCTTTGATGAAGTTCATATGATTAGAAGTAGGAAGCTCGAATCATTGCTCAAGCGACCTGGATCACTATTCGGTATTTATGGTCCGCAGCTCTTCTCATACCTCTCTGAGTTCACAAATAAAACATCCTTTATTATTCGTTCTACACATCAAACCTCAACGAACCGAAAACGCATAGGGTGTGGAACAGCATATTCCAAAACGCAAGACTGAATCGAAGAAAAGGCTTCCAGAGTTCCTATCTCAACATGGCTTATCGAAATACTGGTTTCCAGAGTATGGGCCAGAGGACAGGTCAAGGTCATAGACACGAAGTTATTGATGTCGAGGAATTTTTTAAAAAAAAGGAGGAGTTCCAAACCCGCCAAAACCGCAGTGCCACGATGTACTCAATTTAACGAAGCTTCTTGAAAGAACCATCAATGTTTTTAGTCACGTTCCTGAAAGTGCACTTGGTCGCAAGTGTACAGCGCTTGATTGGTTACGTGATCGTTCCGCCTTCCCGGACAACTACAACTTCCCGGCCCATTACGGGCGCCCCCAGCCTCATCCGCCGTCGAGTAATCATGATCCCACCACAGAAGTAGATCTCATATGGCTCTTCTCAATCTTCAACACCATTTTTTTCATGAATACACTTCCATCCAACACCGGTGTTTTTCGGCAAGACAGTTCAACATCCAATCTTAGGCGTAGGGTTGATCTCCCCGAAAGAAGAGATTTAATTTTTGCTAGCTCCTCCGCTTCCGCTTTTGTCGACAATTTTAAAGCCGGATTTGAGAGGAGGGTCGATCATCAGTTTTTACCTCCCACGATCCGCGTCCCTTCTAGCCACATTGATCTCTCGGGTACCGAACAGGTGGTTCCTTGGGAGGATCAAGTTGGTAGTCTCTTGGGGTCAATGATCGATCTCTTTATACGATACTACAGTTGTAGAAAGAATGGATGCTGGAACGATAAATACACTCATGGTCAAATGCACAGAGGAGAAGTGTAGCAAATTATTGCATACCGTTTCGAAACGTCTCCAACAATGAGACACACCCAAGAGGCACTGGGAAGTCCTATAAATTTGAGAAGAAAGGAAGTTTATGAGTGGGAATTGGATCATTGGAATTTAAGAGAGCTTAACAGACTTGAGAATATGTTAGTCCGCCGCAGGATTGAGACGTGGGGCTGGGCACCGGACAGCCAACTGTCATGTGTAAAAGCTCTTCAAGAGAGGAAACGAAACCGGGCTATAGCTCTAGATGAAGAAAGTCGGGTTATGAATGAACTAATTCGTTCTCGTTTTCATTCTGGAACCAGAGAACCTCGTTTTGAAGGTATGCAATTTCGTTTTAGAGCGCCACAGCATCTTTTTCAAGGGAGAAGATCTTGATTTGGAGCGGGAGGATATGGTCTTGAAGCAATATTTGAGCATGGAGAGCCCCGTTCTAGAGCAGCGCCGTCTCTTTCTAGAGGGCCAAAGAATCGGACCGAAGTGAAACAATCTCAATATGGAGTCCCAGATTCTCACTCTAGAGAGGCGGCATCTTGTTCTGGAAAAATGGGATCTCTGTTCAGAAGTTGAAGGAGGGAATGATGGCCTATAATGTTTCTTTGCATTCTTTCTGTATTATTACTTAAGCAATAAAGCTAACGTGACTTTACACTTTGCTTCAATTATCCATGCTGCTTACAGGTGTTGAGTTGGATGTATCGCATTGCCAGTCGCTACAATTTACATAAAAAAAAATTGACTTCTGTTGATTTTTGATTGACATACACTCTCACAATCATTAACTCATGATTTGTAACGAATGAGTCTGGCTAGATAATGAATATATGTTAACACCCAGTAATCAGTCCGCCAACATTTACTTATACTTATCATTCAGTGATTTCCAAATGGATTCTTCCTTCATTCCAAACAAGATTTACTTCACATACCACACTGTAACACCTTCAATCGCAACAAATAAAATCAAGCAAATTACAACATACCAAATCCCACAAAGAAAGCCCATATCACACAAACACTCCGTAAATTCAACATACCTTGCAAGCATCAGAAATATACCGCCACGAGACTATCGGGAATATTTGTATTTGCCACTCCATACAAATACGATACCTCCGATTTGGTTGAAGCCCTCGAAGACAGCCTCAATCCATCCGGAGATGAATTCAAATCTTTACGGGAAGGCACTCTATACAACATCAAAAACCACACAGATCAGACATTCTTGAGAAAAATGGACGATAATCACCATGAAATATTATCCCTCAGATCTTTGAATTTGATATTTGCAAGATTCAACGCCGTTTTGTTCAAAAATACCCTTCCGCAATACACAAAGATCCTTCGAAAAAATGACAATGACTTGATTCTCACACCGGGATTATCCCTCCCTCTCAAAGCGAGATTGTCATTAGGTACGTTCGCTATCACAGCTAGAATCACCCATAGTCCTACCCACAAGATTGATCGCACCATGCCACCCCAGATATTCCTTCCTTCTAGGGGTACGTTCTCTATCAACAGCAGTCCCGGAGATGACGTGAGCGCTCTCCTAGAAGCAGCGATCGGTTTGTACCTACAATGGTACAGCTGCCAAAATCCCAGCTGTATAAATCATATCACTGCTTGTGGGAAAGCCTACAGAGGACACGCATGGCAGAAAATTGCCAACCTGTTGGAGAAATTTGAGATGATGAGCGATATGCAGAATTTGATTGGTTCGCAGGTGCGTTTGAGAAGACATGAGGAGTTTGTTAGGGAATTGAGCTATTGGGATAGGCCAAGACTGTTGGTATCTTTGGGTTTGATAAGGGAATTGGGGTTGGTGGCGTGGACTGTGGAGGATTTCGTGTATGCTGCGGAGGAGGAACGGAGAAAGAGAGTTACTTCGAAGTCAGAAGAAAGGAGTGAGGAGTTTGATAGCGGAGTGGTATTTCGATTTCTTTGATGTGTTAGTAAGTACTCTAACAATGAAGTAAGCGTGATCTTTATACTGGGCATTATTTGGATTTATATATTGATGCCTGGGTATTTGTAATTTGTATACTCCAATGCGACTCTTGTCTGAATAACTAATATATCTTGTAGATGTATGGTAGACATTTATTAATTACTATCGAATTTGATAATCACCATGTATCAAATCTACTTCTCTGATTCAAAGTTCAGTAAAACGATCGATAGTCAAACTACCTAATACTAATAATAAATTCCATGACAGCGCCTGTGATGGTCTTCGAGTCCCGTCATTGCGTCTCGATTAGTAAGAATATCTCCCGACAGAGATCTCACATGTGAAAAATGGCGTATTCCTTCCGGCACAACTATTGGTATGACTATACTATTGATTCACACGGATGAGAAGCTATATCCAGACCCAATGCAATTTAATTCCGATCGATAGATAGATATCGACGCCCAGAGGAAGCACAACAAAACACATGCTCCTTTTTCTAGGGGAACTAGGATTTGTCTTGGCATGAAGTATGTCCCCCTTTTGACTTGATGCTATATTACTGTTGCTGACACCGTTTCTAGTCTCGCATGGGCTGAGATGTATTTGCTACTTGCCGCTCTTGTTCAGAGATTTGATTTCCAATTTGAGGGGGCTACCTCAAAGGACTTTGAATGTGAGAGTGATCAATTTATCATTGGGACTAGTGGAAAGGGCGTTTTGAACGCTGTTGTTGCTTCTTGTAGATAATATGCTCTGGAGTGACAATTTAGGATAGGGGACTGAGTTCTAGGCTCAGGATCCGTTGGCATTAGGCGCATGGTGCACTATTTGAGAGTGAAAATCCAGAAGTTTCAGATACGACTTTCCACGCTCAACATCAATTAGCTAGTATAAAATTACTCATACCAATGATTATCTCGCTGACAACATTGATTGTCAGGCCCTCCGATTGACAAAACTCTTTCAAGACATCCTCAAAGATGAATACTGACGTGAGCACACGCATATTCCTAAATAGGCCGAACGACCCTCAACAATTCGGACAATTACGGTACAGACTTCCCCACAAACGAGGAGAATCCTCTAACATAAAAGTCACTCTATGCCCAAAAATCTCGTAACTATTATTGAATCTAACAATCATCCAAGACTTCTTGTACGATGACCCCAGTGGCTCACATCGCCTTTATCTTCAGTGCCACTGGCAGTCAAGGGAGCGCTCTGTACCAACAGCTCCGCGGTCTCGACTGGAAAGTCCACGCAACGACGCGCAACCTCGAGTCATCTGGAGTACGCACATTGATAAATCGTGGCGTAAACCTCACACAAAGCAATTGAGACGATATGGATGCCCTCCGCAATTCTATGAGCGGCTGCGAGAAACTCTTCTTGTGTCTACATCCCCAACTCGACGATTTAGATTATGAGCGTCGACAAGCCGAGAAGATCCTCAAGATCGCAAAGGAGATGGATGTCAAGCAGGTGGTTACTTCCACGAGTCTCGATGTGAGTATGCTGGGCACTGGGATACACATTACACCCGACTCCTTTATGACTAAGCACCTCGCGAGGATAAGGGAGTGGAGCAGGCTGTTGTTGATGGCAATTATGAATATTGGACATTTCTCCGTCCTGCTTTCTTCATGTCGAATTTCCTAGAGCCTAAGGTACATAGATACCCTGGGTTACGAGATAAGGGAACGTGGACAACAGCAATGACCGCCGAGGGAAAGTTGGCATTGATTGATCACGTCGATATTGCTAAGTTTGCTACTGCAGCATTTCAAGAACCAGAAGAGTTTCGCGGATGCGCAATCGGGTTGGCTAGTGAATTTTTCACTATTCCGGAGATACTTGATTGACTCAGAGAAGTCATTCAACGGCCCCTTAAACAGTGTTTATGACAGAAGAGGATATTAGGAAGCAAAAAGACTCCAATGTCTTTGCTAATTCGCAAGTTGCCATGAGATACATGTCGGAATATGTAGATTTAGAAAAACTTTCTAGGATCGTTCCGTTAACGATATTTGAGCAATTCCTTGAGAGGGAGGAAGACATCGCCAGGAGGGCATACTTACGACTGTTGTGAATGCTTATTCTACACCTATTATATATCCGAGGATTGATATAGCCGTGATCGAGTCATTTCATCGAATTTGTTTCAAAAGTTGCTCTTGATTGTATGATTCAATGGGATATTTCGTGCTTCCACTTGCTGTTCGAAATATATTCCTCCTATTCGAATTCGAAATAAACGATCGTAATCCCATCGCGTTCGTATATATGAAAACATTACCAAGCCACCATGAACTGCTACTCTAGCGATATTAATGTATCTTACTGCCCAAATCCCTTTCGCCACTATTAGCCACCTCTAGATCATCACTCTCAACCCGTGCTCTTCCGACCATAGCAGTAGCCTCTCTTTTCCCATCTATTCGCTTTAAACCCCAGAGCAGAACCGTGGTCCAAATTGCCAGAGCAATACACGTTACAATCATCGCCCACATTCCCTTTGTAAACCCAGGCGCTTCAACCGCGCCGTAAAATAGTAAACTCCACCAAGCATTCACAGCATTACTACCACAATTCATACTCGCTATCACTATTGCTCTCAAGGCGTCGTTTTCGAATCTCATCGCTTCATTAGCCCATGCGAAAAAGGTCGCTTGACAAGCGTAGACAGAACCGGCCCAATAGTATGCCGCAAATATTGTTGCTACATTAGAAGTTGTGAGTATCATAGCGGAAGTCACAATTCCGGTGATGGCAATGAAATAAGCGACAAGGTAGCGTTTGCCGTTTAGAAAATCTGTAAGAGTTGCCCAGAAGAGGGTAAATATGATACCAACAGCGGGAACACCAGTAGGATAGTTGTTAAGTTGAGAAATTGTGTATTTGTTTGTGGATTTCATGTATAATGAAAGTAAAGAATTTGAAGAGAAAGATTCGCTTTCTCCAGCAATAATCCATAGAATAACGAAGCCATACCAGTACCATGATGTGACGACAGTTTTGAGAAATGCAAAATTCCAGAGACGATGTTCGGGCACTTCTGGAACACGGGCTTTGGCGAGATCACGCTCAACCGGGGTGAGATAAAATGCGGATGTTGTGGTCGGAGTATCTGGGAAAAGAAGAAAGCCATAAAGGGCAATCGGGAGAGTGATAAGTCCGTCAATGATAAACAGCCAGCGCCAGCCACTCATCCCTTTGGCACCATTCAAGGATGAATGAATGCCAGTTTGGATGAAACCTCCAAACATAGTGCCGGCAAGACCAGAGGAAGTGAAGATACCACTGCGTTTTCCGAGCTCTCGAGGAGTGTACCATGATCCGAGTATATAATGGGTACCGACAAATGTGCTGCTTTCGGCAAGACCTTGGAAGAATCGAATAGCCATTATATCTCGGGGATGATGAACAGATGCAGTGATCATAGTAAGACAGCCCCACAGAACCATCATTGATGGGAAGAAAATGCGAGGTTTGATGTAGTAGAGTGCTAGATTGCTAGGAATTTGTCCAATAATGTATCTGAACGCCATTAGTATAAACGAAGACATGCCAGATGGCCGAATTCAGAAACTACCTGAAGTCACAACCAATTTGTGTAGATTGAGATGAGAATTCAGGTGTCTTTTTAAAACACTTCGGTCATAGCATATGAAGAACTTCAATAGAGACCTAATACATACCCAACAGTAAAAACAGTATTAATAAGATTATATTGATTACCCACGAACCCCAACTCTTCCTTCATTCCACTCACATACGCATTTGCCAGATTTGATCGATCTAAATAATTCGTGAAATAAGATAAACAGCAAAATGTTAAGATGAAAAAATCTGTATTTATTAGAGGCTTTGACCATTGAAGACTTGATTGCACGAGCCATGCATGATGAATTAAGTACTCACCTAATTTCTGTACCAGCTTTCTCTCTCCTGGATGCTCGTAGGGGTGGGAGATGTACTCCCTCACACGTGACATTGCCATGATCGAAGACTTCTTCTTTCGACTGGTGAAGCGTGACCCGAGCTTATAGACAAAAGCTACTACTCAGACCAAAGTAACTTTTGGCATGCAAATGAGGAAACCAAAGCTTGATATATCTTTGGCTCTGATATCTTTGGCGTGGATATCTTTACTTCGTACGGCAATCCGTGTGAATCTGTATCCCCGCAGACAAGCATTAACCCCACTTCCAACGATAACGGTTCTATCAAAGCATAACGTTTGAGATGCGGAAGAGAACAGTACACCTCATTCAGCCGATAGACTGCGAAATTCCCTATGTAGTAGAAAGTCCTATGGTATTGAGTACCTATCTATGTATGCTCGAGCTGGGCACTACCAAGAAGAGGAGAAAAATCGTTGTACCCCACCCTGTCAATCTGCTATTTCTCCGAAAATCACCCGGATAGCCACTCTCATAGCCATTTTGCGCTCCTTCCATCCGACCCCTTCCTTCCACAACGCCAGACCAAATAGCAGTTCTAGACCATGTATCCCCCAAATTTCTGTAAACTCCTATCGTTACAGAACACCATTTTCGAGATTCCATTACACTCGATTCTCGAGTCTCTCAGCCGAAGAGACAATGCTGTTATCGGCTTCAGTGGCTGCAACTGCAGTGGATTGTCACATCAGTAAACCACTAACAGCTAGTGAGTAGATTGGCTATCGGAGTCTTACCTGTAGCTTTCATGTGTTCCTCGTTGTGCAATTCCTGATCGGTTCCATTCACATTCTTCTCGGAGGACTTTTTTGACAATCTGCTCTGCGGTGGTCTTTCCCATCGAAAGCAATATTGTCCAAGTTTCATAGCAATGCGTCTCGTCCGAAATCCCGTTACCAAAACCCGCTCTCCATCCAACGTTTCGCCAACTTCGTAAGGAACATCATAGTCAGATATAGGACATGGCATTTCCGGCCATGTAGGTCGGTCAGGTGCCTTGAGATATTGTTCTATAATGCCGCCAGATTGTCGTTTCCGTACCCATGTATTTAGAAACTCGCGGAATACAGAGACATCAGCATCCAGTTCACGATTGCAGACCCATTCTGGGAGATTTTGAACCATGTCCATATTTCGTTCCCAATGGGGAATCCCAGTGAAGTATCGGTCGCTTGTTATGAGCTGATGTAAGGTATATATCACACCGCTCACGTCGTCACGATTATTCATCAACCAAAAATTCCCACATGAGGTCCTATCAAAGTCAAACGAAAGGAGCTTTTATGTATCAAGATCAATGAATAAGTTCCATAATACAATATCTTAATGCATGATTCCCAAGTTCAAGTTCAGGAAATCAACGACTTCAGTGAGCTGTTGTAACCACTCAAATCGAAAAGGTATGTTCGGATTGCTCAGACTTCCACTTGGAATATACTTTGCTGTGAAGCCGATCACACGGGACTCCACGTCTTCGAGAACGACGCCATCTAACAGCACTAAGTTGGGATGTGGTGCCAGACTTTTGAGGAGGTTCATTTCTTTTCATGCCATTTGTACTCTCAATGGTTTTTCCAAAACATTGAATTTGAAGGCAACCATTCGAGTGTTCCGGTTCTCATCTTCGTATGATGAAAGGTCAACAAATGGTGCAAGTCGATCGAGTTCTTGAAGCTGGGAATGCTTGATGGTACGACATCCAGCCAACGATTCAACAGTCGAAATTGGGGGATAAGCAATGAAGAAAGTTTCGTCCTCCTCTGGATCTGTGGAGACCCCGCAGATGAGTCCATCATTGTCAACGTCAACTGCTCGAATTTCTGGAGATAAATAATCAGCAAACTTTGCTAGAATGGTAGCCTCTCTATCTTCTTCCGGTGGAAAATCCTCTCTTTTTGCCTTTGATTTTGATCAGACGCAATTGATCCCAATCCCAGACATTACAATAAGCATCGTCACTAAGGTAGGTTTGACCCTCGGACCAAAACCTATCTTCAAGTGGAATCATTTGGGCCAGAAGAGGTTTGTTAAAATTATAGAACCAGTCGGCGGGCAATATTTCTGTAAGATTAGGTAATCCGAGTGCTCGAGAATCGAACCACACGTGATATTCACCTGACTGTATGGCACGCTGAAAATTGAGCAACTCGATGCAGGCCAGATTTTAAGTGAAAATATATGAAGACTGACATATACTTGCTGATCTTGGAATTAGTATTAGTGCCAAACAGTTATTAACCATTCATTTCAACCATTCCCTCCAACTTTCCAAAAGTATGCGGAAGATTATTCACGAAATGTTACACATTCAGAAACTATACCGGCAAGTTAGAAAATTTGAGTGTGTGAATGGGGAAGAACTATCTGAAACCATGTTGACTATAGTCGTTATAGATGGTTCAAGCAGATCTGCAATGTCCCCAATCGATTATCATGCCATCAATTCAAAGCTTTCAACTCTAATACACACCTATTATTCGCCTCAGACCATTTCTATCTCACCTCCGAAGCGTCGTTCAATCAACAATGGCAGCAGTCATCCCACTAGGCCAGATCGAAACAAACGTTGCAAATCACTACGTCAACAGCCCTAGCAATCCCAATAACTGTTTCTGCGCTTGGTACATTTACTACTCTAACGTATGTGGCCATGCATTTCAGGAGCTTGCAGTACAATGCGGCGCTCGAACTACGCCATCTGGAAGAAGCGGCTTCGGTAGAAGCCCAGCACCGAGAACTATTATCCAGGCGCCGCAGATCAATGCGCAGTGTCGTTTTTGCTAATCATGGTCGGTGGGGAAGGGAAGGAAGGAAGGAAGGACAGAAGGTTAAGTTAACGGGGAAGGAAGATATGTGAGCGGAGCTGCGCCCGAAACGCTTCTCGATCGGCGTCCTTGATATCTACGACACATAGAAATTGGGTGTGCTCTATCCCATCCACTTGGAGCTTAATCATTTCAGATGATTAGCTGGAAAGGATCTCATGGTTGGGATCCAGATAATGGATTATGATATCCAAACATCCGCTCCACCATCAAACTTCACCTTGTAAGCTTAGGTGATTTTTTGGAAAATGAAGTGATGGATTATTTGACTTGATGTGACTTTGAATGGGTTCAAATGCCCTTACCAAACGCTGCGAGAAAAGTGTTGGATAAATCAAGAAAAAATTGCATTGAAGAAGCTGGGGAAGGGAAGGAATGGGAGAAATGTCTTCCAAATCTCTAGTTGATAGTTCAAATATGTAGCAGACATTAAATGTGATGTCTGAAGAAATCCTCGAGATATCCGATCTCAACAAGTAAGGTACCTCGAGGCTCCATGACGATCGTAGCGAACAGGACGGATAAGACGGAAGAAGTAATTCACAGTGCACTAGCTTTTCAAACATACTTAAGTTTATAGAATCTTAAAACCCTTCAATATCCGTAGTCATTCGACTATAACAGAGCAGACTATCGACAACCATAGAGCGACTAATTAAGACCATACTGTTGGGAAATGGATCACGTGACTACGCTAGCGTTAGCGCTAGCGTCTTCCGACACTACAGCAAATACGTTTCGTAGCCTTAGCTTTTATAACCTCAAGCAATATAACAACAGTGTGAATCATAGTACTATATTGACTTCACCATCCCCATGGTGATATCAACAAATACAAAGCGCAGACTTTTGGGTACCATAGAATAGAGGTTTTAACTTTCCCAACTTTTCGAATGTGCAAACTTCCACCCTCACACCTAGTTTACTAGCTCCGCATGTACGCAAACACCTCAAGGCTCAATCCTTCCAAAACCGAGAACACTTGCCAGAGAACCTTGATAAACAGCCGGACGCAGCAGTACGTCGTAGAATATGAAATGAAGCTCTGGGAGCTATCCGCCTCATCACAATAACATAAGAACACAACTGCATCTCTGAAAATATCCCATAGACGTCCCATCTTGCCTTTACCCTTCGCGCGTCTCAAAGCCTATTCTCAAGTAGCTTATATCAATATGCGTATTGAATAACAAGTGAAACGGCAGAAGATGAAAAATGAGTCACTAACCTCTGCATAATCCGCATCCTCAGAAAGCTCTTTAACTCTCCTGAACACTAATCTCCCATTCGCGCGTTCCTTCTCACTTACTTTCTTCACGAAATCATCTCGAGTTTGCGCAATGATTTCATTGGCTGCCTCTTACAATTTCTTGGGATCTTCCAGATCCAGCCCGTCAAGCTCTCCAACAGATTTGGGTTTCTGATAATCGTCTGGCAAAGGTAGAGCACAAAGATGAAAGTTTGAATTTTTGGTATTACGACGCATTTGAGCGAAGAGCTGCTGTTCCCGGAATTTGAAGTGATTTCTGGCTGGACGTTGGGTCCTGGTGAGGGTGCACTGATCGGAAATTTTGAGTGTAGGTGATACATGCGAGAGGATGAATCAAATGAGTGTATTCAGAACTGATAGAGAGGTCGTTTGATTGATAAATTGTTGAGAAATATCAATCATACTATCTAGGTAGAACTATCTAGGTAGAAGAGCAAACGCTTTTCAGCGTCTGCCTATCGGACTATGCAGTCGGTATCCCCTCAGCCATACAATTCTCACTCAACATCCATGTACCGGAATCATGTATATTTTATAAGAGCTCTCTCATTATTCAGTCCTGCCTAGGAGATTTACTACATTTCTCGATGAATGGAAAGAAAATAAAGAATCATAATCAATCATGCTCTTTGCTTTCGCAGTCAACTCTGACCATCTAGCAAATGGAGGGTGATAATAGAGTACGAAAAACTATGTTCGGTACTCTGATACGAACTACCGCATATATACTCCGTTTGCCGAGTAACCATCTTACTTGAGTAACCTCATACCTAAATATATCGAGGAATGATATTGTCAACTGCAAATGATTCAGTCGGATTATCTCTCTCAAGGCCGGAGGATTAGACTGGAATTTTCTCCCCGGCCTAACATGCAGCCCAATGACAAATGTACCGGGCCGACATAAAAGCAGTTATCTGGACCGCAAGCCACCAATATGATAAAAAATGTCCAAAACGATAAAGGTTACTAAATCTCATGCTCATGAATTTAGGCAAAAAGAAAAAGAAACTAATTTCCAAACCAAAGGAAAAAACAAGAAACTAAACTATTCTACTAACTATTCAGCCACACGCGTTCGTACAAACCAACACAGCCACAAGTAAGCAGCTGGTGCCACGACATTGTTGTTTCAAACAAACGTGGAGAAATCAAGAGAAATCAAGTCTCAAAGTGATTTCTTATCGGTCCTGTCGGTCCTCGCGGTCCCATCTTATCTTACCAACTTCACGGGTTTTCATATCCATTTCGTCGTGATTCAGAGTGTGCATATGTATATGTATCTATGGAGTACATCTTCCCTCCCGTGATGTGAATCATTGGACTCTACATATGTTACTGCACTCCTCTCTCCTGCATGAATCTCTCTCCGTATACTGTATTCCACGCTTGTCTCCATCAAAAGACCTGCGTGCAAGCGTGCAAAGCATACAGAAGCGAGCGGGAAACCGCGGGCGCCGAATGGCTCCATAGCGGTAAGCGACAGGACGTTGAATTTCGTCCTCGCGTGCTTCGGAGACCATAAAACATGGCTAATTATATGATTCAATAGTACAGAATAATTCTTCTAGGAGTAGACAACTTTTTTTTTCTTCCAAGGAAGATGACTTGGTTGCATGTAAGCCCAACAAATTCTTGCTGTTGGACCAAAAGTTCAACGACACGATGCACGATGGAGATTCACATTTCCACTTTCATGCATGAGGATGCGTTGGGAAGGGATATCCTATTGGACGAGAAGGATTCTTTTCCGTGTATACTGGTCCCGTTTCTCTTCTTAGTGAAGGACGATTTCGGTTTGATAATTTTTGAATCCAATGATTTCATCGTGATATTAGATATTAGTGGAGGAAATAAAAATGATGATCCAATGAAGGGGTAAGTTCGAGACCTAGAAAGAAGAAGCTCTCGCTTTATTGAATGATAGGAGATTTTCATCCCCACAGGTATGTTTACTATTTATGAACCAAGAATCCAGCACACCATAATACCATCACGATTCATTCACCCCCAAGAAGAATCCACAACATTTCTCAAGAAAAGACTAAAACTGCCCCTTGCAAAATAACTATCACTCCACATAAATCATGTGAAATCGGTTTGATTCTCCGATATGTCCCCTCCAAACCTTCCAAAAGGCACCTTGAAATCCGATCATCCCATCTATCATCGTGGACTTGTGAACTTCTATACATATAACCAATACATATACCTACAAACCCAGGTATACCTACATGATTAAAATGAAGCCGTGACCCAGTTCTCCACAGGTATTCATCTCCATCTAAACATCATTCACAAAACCCATCCATACAAATAAACCTCTCAAATCCCTCACTCTTCGCTGTCCCACGAACTCCTCAGTTGATCTGCCATACTTACCTCCTTTTTCTTTCTTTCCACCTACCTACCTACCTACCTACCCACCCACCGAGTCTGCTTGACGGAACCGACTCTCTCACGTCCTACATTTCTCGTTCCCCAAAAAATTCCCACTTAAATTTCCCCCGCCATCAGCTCTTCACCGCACTTTTTTGGCGGTAAAGAAGTAGCTTGCTTGCTTGCTTGCTTGCTTGCCTACTCAGGGAATCTACTTCTTATTCTTTTCACAAGCCAAAAAATCCATTCACTTCTTTTTCAAATCTCCTTTACGATACCAAATTACCAAAAATAAGAAGCTGGTCTTCTCTTTCTCTCTCAAATATATACCCATATTATACGTTCAAAAATGGCTCCTCCCATCACAGAAACCGTTACCATTATCAATAAATCGGGGAAAGTAGTCAGCACTGTGAGTATTTCTACCATTTTTCCGAGGTTTTCCCTGGAATTCCCCTCATCCGATGTTACACACATACAAAATAATGCGGTGACTAACCAGCACATTTTTCAAAAAATCATAGGGCAAACAACTCGTAAACATCTTCAAAGATGCCAAAGCCGCTTATCAAGAAAAGAAAGCTCAATTGAGAGAAGAACATTATCTTCGAGAAGAAGCACGTACATACCGAGCACAGAGACGTCTCAACGAAGCTCGCTATGAAATTGAAGAGGCACGAGGAGGAGGAGATGATGATGCTCAATCGATAGCTTCGAGAAGATCTCATAGATCTCATCGTTCACATCGTTCCCATTCTTCTCGTCAGGAACCAAGAGATGCTTCTCGTCCTCCTCTTACCATCAATAATTATGAGGAATTCCCGGATATGCAAAGTTTGGCCAGTGGCCGCTCCCATCGTTCTCATCGTTCCCATACGAGAACTCGCCAGGAATTCAATTTCGATGATTTGGATGAGGAAGAAGATATGCAAAGTCTCGCAAGCAAACGTTCGCATCGATCTCATCGATCGAAACGGAGTCGCTCGGTGCACGGTTCTAAATCTCCTACTCAATATGAGCCTACAGAAACCCATTACGAAGACCCCGAAGAGGGATTTTATGATGATCCCCCTCTAGCCATTTATCGTCAACCATTTGCCGAAACGGAATTGAGTCTCGCGAGGAGAAAAACAGAAAAGGAAGCTGCTCCTCCCATGCCAGGACATCTTGTAAGGAGAGAAACAGCTCCGGCTACGTATACAAGCGGACCACTGGTCCCACGTGCAACTTCCGTGCCTGATCTTCATGATGACTCAATCGATATGGATTTGGCATATGGAGATGCCCATCACTTTGAATCCGACCCGGAGCCAGAATACGAAGAGCCAATCGCCCCACAACAACTCCCCGCGGAACTCGACGAAACAATGAGTAAACTCGATACTCTCCTCATCGAAGCCCAATGTCTTCACCACACCGCCACAGCCATCATGTCGAATCTCCAAGCCAACCCCGAAGCCATGGCCGCCGTAGCTCTCACCCTCGCCGAGCTTTCCTCTCTCCTCACCAAAATGTCTCCCTCCATTCTCCCCATGCTCAAAGCCAGTTCCCCCGCCATCTTCGCGCTCCTCGCATCTCCCCAATTTCTCATCGCCGGTGGTGTCGCTCTAGGCGTTACAGTCGTCATGTTCAACGGATTCAAAATCATCAAGAAACTCCAAGCTACTCCCGAAAAGCCTCTCGAAGCTCCCATGGCCATGCAAGCCCTCCCTGCTACCCCCAACTATCCCGACACCCCCGGATTCATGGAACCCCAAGACATGCATCATGAATACGAAGAAGCGATGCCCTACGAATCTTACGAGGAAGAACTAAGCAGCATCGACATCTGGCGTCGTGGTATCGCCGACGCAGAAATAGAAAGTGTAGGCACAAGTGTAGATGGCGAATACATTACCCCCACCGCAGCACGACAAAAGGAAAGTCGCCACGCAGATCGAATCCGTCAACGAGCTGCCGAGGAAAGAATCGACGAGAGTGAGGAAGAAGAAGAAGAAAAGAGAAGTATTATGAGTCGCTTGACGAGTAAATCCCGTCGTTCCAAAACTCTTCCTGTTAGAGGTAGTCCTTCCCAATACGAACCTTCCGTCAAACCTAAAGATGACGATATTGAATCTGTTCGTACTTCTCGCACGAAGACGTCGAAATCGACAAAATCTTCCAAGAGTCATCGATCGAGTCGCTCGAAGAAAGATGATGATAATGCATCGCTTGCTTCTGAGCGAACGGAACGGATAGAGAAAGAAGAGAAAGAACCAAAGGAAAAGAAAAAGAAGACGCCTTTGAGTATTTTTAGAAGTAAGACGGAGAAGAGTACGAGTTTTAAGGGAAAGGAGAAGGAGAGTAAGAAAATGGGTCATCATCCGCTTTTACTGGAGCTTTGAGGGTCGAGATGAGCTGAGCTTGAGTTTCTTCATGGCTTGGTTAGGGTTTTGGTTTTGGTGTTGGGGTTGAGGTTGAGGTTCTTGAGGATTTGCGTAGCTCATCCTATCTACCTTGACCTACCTCAGATCAAACGCACACAACAATCTTCACAAATCGAACCTCACTTTTTTCTTTCTCTTTCATTGCTTCCTCTTCGCTTAGCGGGTTTACTGTCAATCAGTCAGTCGGTCGGTCGGTTATTTTTATGCTTCGGTAGCTTTTGACGAGTACTTCAACTCAACTCATTCCCTCACTTCTCTTCATTTCCCCCTCCATCGATCTTCGGATCAAGGGGGGAGTCTTTTATGATTTCATGGATTTACGTATGGATGGATGGATGGATGATGTTTTTTAATAAGGAACAATGAAAAAAAAAGATATTCAGATATCGAGATGAAAATGAAGATGGAAATGAAGATGGAAATGAGAATGAGAATGAGAATGAGAATGAGAATGAGAATGAGAATGAGAATGTATCTATGTGCATGCATACGAATGAATATATCACGAATATCAGATTGGAATGATGTTATATAACGAATGAAATGGAATTGAATGAAACAGAACCAGATGAAATAGGATAGGATGGGATTTATATATAAATATAGCTACTCAAGGATGAAAGAATAAAGAAAGAAAAGATGAAGAGAAGAAGAGAAGAAAGGAAGAAAAAAAAAGCAGAAAATATTATCGTGTATTGATATTATATCTGATTTATATATATACTTTTCTTTATGTATCTCCCCCCCTCTCCCGCTCCCCTCTCCTTCTTTTCATTTTCTCCTTCCTTTCTCCCCTTTCCTACCTCGCTTCCCTCTCACAACTACACAATAACCTATCAACCCGAAACCCTTCCCTCAAGGTTCAACCCCATAATCCACCCTAAATATCCAATACAAAAATCCAATCAAACATCCAATCAAACATCCAATCAAACATCCAATACAAACCCTCCCTTCTAACTAAGTAATTAAACATCAAAGTTAGTCAATTAGTTTAATAAGTGTATAAACCTATCTCTCTCGAAAAGAGGTTTTCTTTTTCCATTTTCTTTTTTCTCTCTCCCACACCTTCTTCCTATATCTTTTTATTCGACCCTTTTCTTCCCATTCCTCCCCTTACACATTCACATTCTCTCTCCCTCAACTCCCCCCCTCAATCCTTCCCCTCCCTTCCCACCTTCTACCCCTCTCATTTCCCCTCCCTTCTCTCGCACCCCACACCTCACACCTCACACAGCACACCATATCCCCAAATCCAACATCCCCAAATCCCAAATCTCAACTCTCAAAACCTCCACGCCAATCTCAAACCCACAACCCCAACTACCCATCCCAACCTCGATATCCCAACTCATCATTCAAAAATCCACATCCCAAAATCGTCAATCCGAACTCACCCCTCAGAATCTCAATCTCAAATTCAATAGTCGGAAGCACTACTCCATATTTAATATCTTCAACCCCCCTTTTTATATTCCCATTTCAATATACCTTATCCATCTATCCATCTATCTACTTATTCAAAACTCGTTCAAAACTCATCGAATCATTCATTTCAGACTCAGAGTCCCAGACTCAGAATGCAGGACTCCAAATCCAAATACTGATATTCAATATTGAACATTTATTATTTAATATATATACCTAATACCTAATACTCACTCAGATCAACTCAACTCACCTTATCTCAACTCAATTCAACTCAATTCACTTTAATTCAATTCACCTCACCTCACCTCACCTCACAACCTCCTTCCTATTCAGTAATTTCAATTCAAACTCCTCCCCATTCAACTCCCACCCATTCAACTCATACTTATAATCATACTTACTTACCAATACTCAGACTTAGATTCAAATTTATCATTCCCTTCCCCTTCCCCTTCCCCTTCCCCTTCTTCCTTCTCCTTCTCCTTCTCCTTCTCCTTCTCCTTCTCCTTCTCCTTCTCCTTCTCCTTCTCCTTCTCCTTCTCCTTCTCCTTCTCCTTCTCCTTCTCCTTCTCCTTCTCCTTCTCCTTCTCCTTCTCCTTCTCCTTCTCCTTCCCCTTCCCCTTTCTTCCTCCTCCCCCGCCACCACAAACACCTCACTACCCCCCTGTCCCAAAAACAGATATAAATTCAGGCCACTATAAATCAAAAGCCATACCCACATAGAGTACTATACGCACATAGACCGACCTATAGATCTACAAATTCACACACACACACACACACATGAACAAGCATGAAAAGGGATCCTCATCCAGACTAAGAGTTGCTTTATTGGTTTTGATTATTATTTATGTATTCATCCACTCACTACTCACTTCCTCTTATCTCATCTCATCTCATCCCAAGATCCAAGATCCAAGATCCAAGAAACAATATCCAGATAGATACTCACATCTAGATTTTTCGTTTCCATCTCGCCAGCTAACTATCCCTCATATGACTTTGTTCCAATTCATTCCAGATCCTATCCTATCCTATCCTATTCATGACCAACATCATGAATCATGTACACCATCCAACCATCTGCTCCAAAATAATCCAAATCAACCAACCAACCAATATACATCCAACTCCGCATCCAAACTAATCCCCCAACTCCCCTACACAACAAAATCCCCACCCTAACCCCAACCTAACTACCAGAAAATGCAACAAATCGTTATACGTTCAAATTCATTCAAATCTAATCCAACTCAACCAATTCCATTATTTCTCCCCCCTTCCACTCTCATCAACTCATATTCGATTGTTCGCCTGGGTAAATTTGTCCTCCAATACCGCTTGATTGATTGCCATGGCCAGAACCTAATATTCAAGGTCAAAAATCATTTACACCCTCACCACATCATGCTCGTTCTTATCCAACCTTGGTATCGTGATCTGGTGTGATACTTCTCATGAAGCTTGTCGCCTTGGTATGAACGTTCTGCCGATTTTGCATACATCTATCGATGCTGCGAGCTATCGTGCGCATTCGCCTCCCCGAATAAATCTCGGCCCAACAATTCCTCAATAATCATTTTCGAATCGAATCCAAGACCACTTAATTCTAAATCACTTTAATCTCGTGATTATCCAACAAAATCTCCTCATGACGATTTCAAAGCTTCATTCATTCCCTCATCCTTTCATTCAATAACCATCTTTCTGAAACCTCCTACCATTGTCCAACCTAATGCTCTCAAAGCACTTGGATCTTTCGCCTTTATAATTGTGCAGGCGGGTAACATTGGATTCGTCGGATCCACATGTGATGCATCTTTTGCTGCTTGTTCAATTGCATCCATTTCCTCTTTACACTCTTGTTCATTCAATGGACATACAGTAATTGGTTGACGATGAGTAATGTCACGAGCACCGGAGAGGTGAACCTGTAGATTGTGATGGTTAGATTAGACAATTTGAATGAGAAGTTTGAGACAGTTGGACTAGCTGAATATGTGAGTGAGAGAAGAAAGAATGTATATACCTTTATAACGAGAAAAAACTCAATCTTGTACAAGGTCCCCGTGGTCGTAAACGAATTGACAAAATGCATTGGAAATGCAGCTTTTCCTCTCCTAATAATTCCCTCCGAATCTCTCAAATCCTTCGATGGATATATCAGCCCTAGAGTCGTGAAATATCCTGCCTCTGGTAATTTTGCTCCCACCGTCGCCGTCTGCTTAGCTATGCGATTGATTTTTTTCGTTGGTTCATCTCCTTCCGGATTATATGTGATTTCCTCTTCTATGCCAATGGTAATCTTTTGTATGACTACTTTTGTAGCTTTCTTTATGTAAAGGGAGTTTGGAAACAAATGAATATACACGCTGACGGGATCCGAAGGGCCAAATGACCATCGAGGTATTGTAATTCTCAGAGTAACCAGATGATCCGTATTCTTCTCTGCAGATTCAGGACGATTGTACATGCCGAAAGTTGAGAGAGTATCATATCTCTGCATCGGGACTGGAAATGCGAATTTCTTTTGATCTTGTCCTTGTTGAACCGTAACCACCAACTCATAATAAGTTTCCGCCGTGCGACTTGGTAATTGTAAACTCGCCGGTGGGATTCTTCGATTCGATTCCTCTCCACCCCTTCCAAATGGTATGAATAATACGAAAGGTAAATCCATCAGAACCACACTTTCGCTCTCTTTTCCAGCCGTACATCGAAATAATAACAACTCTTTCCCCACCACATCTGTCGTTTCTCTTCGAGGTGTTCCCAAATGTTTCTTCGCTATCGATTCCGCAGATGGATGAACCGTTTCCCTTCGCTGTAAACATATTCGTACCAAGGATATCGCTATCGGCGCAGAAATTCCAGTGAGGGGTCGAATCTCTACTTTACCCTCTATCCTAGGCTAGAAATCCCCAGATTAATACCATACCCTTCCAAACAAATCACAATTGCAAAACCAAACGTCCAACCAAAGAAATAGAGATCACCTACAAGCGTGGCAGAAATACCCGGATAACCAACCAGAAAATTACTGTTTGGTGGTCCGGAGACACGGACAAAGGCAGACATCTCGTGCACACCCAAAGATCACTGGCGCCACCGCGCAGGTTTGCGCCAAATGGAAAACAATGTTGTTGAGCAGTGTGGGTTGTGTTGAAAGCTCGAGTCTCATGTGTAGATATGATAGGTATGTATGTATGTACTTCGTATGTATGTATGTATATATGCGGTAGGTTTGTTTGCGCGAATTGTGGGGTTGCGAGTCGGTGATATAGCTTTCGTCGTCACCATATAAGCAAGGCTCAGCTCTTGTTTTGGGGGTGGGTAGTTTGTTTTCTTCGTAGGTAAGATTAGGATTACTAATAAGTAAGTGAAGATTGATTGTGAAGATCGATTGTGAAGATCGTTTTGTATGTATGAAATTGGGTGAGAGAGGCCCGAGATCCTTTTCGATTGTTGGTGGAAAGTCGAATTGATTTTTCTTTCTTTGTATGGAAGTTGGGAGGATATCCCGAGATAGCTAGTAGATTCGAGAGATCGATTGTGTTGTGTAACGGAGAAGTTTCCTTTAATGGATGATGAAATGAAAGAGTGAGTGGGTGAAGGAAGAAATGGAATGAGAATAACAAGATGGATAATCAGTTTGGAAAGGAATAAGTGAGGTGTTTTGTTAATTAAAATTGAGATGCAGTAATAATTGCGAGCGGTTATTCTTTCATGGATGGATGTGGGTGTGGATGTGGATGTAATTGAGATTGTAATATATGGTGGAAGGATAGCTAGGTAGATGGGTAGATGGGTAGATGGGTAGATGAGTAGATGGGAGCTGGGTAGATTGTAGATGTGCAGCTAGGTAGATGTGTAGCTGGGTAGCTGGGTAGCTGAACAACTGAACAGTAGCTGATCGACTTTGATGTACGTTGTAAGGGTTGAGTTGTAGGGAAGAGTATAAGAAGAGCAAGGAAAAGAACAAGAACATGAACATGAACAGTAAGATGATTGATGCTTTCGTCTAGTCCAGACTTCTCTACTATGTGATCAATCAATCACCCATACATATCAAGAGGAACCAGTCCCCAAGTATCAAAGTAAATGCGAAACATATGATGATATCCAGCAACCAGGCGTATCTAGATGCAAAGTATAAAATCCATCACGATATCGGCGTATCATACATATGATCAAACCATATAAAGAGTTTCAATCTATGCTATTCTGGTGAATACACGTATTATTTACTGGGGAGGTGTATTAAGTAGTATCTCTTGCGTACTGAGGGGTATCTGATATACATATACTTTGTATAGTTAATTGAAGAAATAATAACTCTTCATCTATATAACTACCTACATTTGTAAAGACATCTATTAAATCAATCAATCAAATCCCATCCATCCAAAGATCTCCTTAAATCTCAACTCACAACAAGCTTCTGAAGATCCGATCCACAAAACAATGGCCCTACCATATCCCGTATCCCATCTTATCCCATCCCATCCCATCCCATCCCATCCAATCTAATCCAATCCCGCCCTCTCACAAGCAAATAAATCCAATGTGAATTATTATCACCTTTTTCATCCTTTCCTTACTAATAATTCCACTTCCATCCCCAATAGCAGCCATAAACTTTTATTCCTTTGTTAGCCTTCTCTCCTCATCCACCCATTTCCTTCAGCCTCGTCTACCTAGAAGGTACTCACAACCTTAACGCGTCTGACCTCATCCATTCAACCCTCCAAAAATTAACATCATTCTCAGCCTTCTTTTTTCATCTCATACCTACTGATACTTCAATCAATTCTCACCAGCACCTAGAAATAAATATCAAATACACATCCACATCTATATCCACATTCACATACACATTACCACCAATACCCATAAATCAACACATCAACACATCTATACATAAACAAACAAAACATGTCTGTAACTTTACACACCAGCCTAGGCAATATCAAAATCGAAGTATTTTGCGATAGCGTACCCAAAACCGCAGAGGTAAATTCCCTTATTTTTCATTCTCCCAATTTCATTGTTTCATATGAGAAGCTTTCCCCCAATCCAATCCAATTAGATTCGACTCCGTTCCATCAAGCCCAATCAAATTGGAAGAAAGACGCTCCGCTGGCCACTGCCGTGGTGGCTTTTTCGCTGCGCTCTATAAACTCCCCTCTCCTCTAATCCCTCTATTCGACTCTCTGTACCCTCAATTTGCACCCCAGCCCACTAACCCCCCTCCCCCCCAGAACTTCCTCGCCCTCTGCGCCTCCCACTACTACGACCTCTCCCCCTTCCACCGTCTAATCCCCACCTTCATGATCCAAACCGGTTCCCCCTCCCCCACCAACCCACATCTCCCTTCCCCTCCCCCAAAAGGCGGCGCCTCCATCTGGAGCACTCCTTTTGCCGACGAAATCCGTCCCTCCCTGCGCCATCACGCGCGCGGTATCGTATCGATGGCTAACAAAGGCCCGGAGACCAATGGATCCCAGTTTTTTATCCTCTTTGCGCCGGCTCCGCATCTCGATGGGCAGAATACCGTGTTTGGACATGTGATTGGGGAGGAGAGCTTTAGGGTGCTAGGGGAAATGGAGGGATTAGAGGTGGATAGGAAGAATAGACCCAAGGAGAAGGTGCTGATTGAGGGGGTGACGGTGCATGCTAATCCATTGGCGGAGTGAGAGTTTAGGTGTGGGTTTGGATTTGGATTGAGGTTTGAGATGGTGCATCGGGATGGAGATGATGATTAGAATGATGGGGGGGTAGTATGATATCATATCACATCACACAAGCCGAGCTTAGCTGGGAAGAAAGAAAGTGAAGATTAATGGATGGATGAATCGATAAATGGAGCAGTCAAAGTACTCCATCAAACAAATAACGAAGCGCAATAAACGGCCTCGAATACCCCGCGAAAAATAAATACGTGTATTTCATTTCCTTTCGCTTCGCTTTGTCGCGTTACACACACACACACACACGAATCACATCCCATCACGGAAAAGGCCTGGAAGCCTATCTCAAAAATCTAGTCCAGACATACCTACCATATGTCAGATCCGATCAAATCCGATCAGGTCAGCACAACACAGAGATCCAGTGCTGAAAGAAACTAGCCGGCTAGGCTAGCTTTACGCAAATTCGGGGTTTGGGGGCCATACGCGACTTATTATGGGGTTGCAGTGACATCTAGATCACCACACTGCACCACACCACACTGCACCACACTGCACTGTATGTGTAACAGTAACAATAGTTGGGGGCCATGGAAGGAGCTGAAAGGAAAAACTACCGAGTAGACGGGAATGCTTGAGATTGAGATTGAGATTGAGATTGAGATGGCGATACCCAAATAGATTACACCATTGCCATGAAGGCTGAGATGACGATAATGAAAGTTTGAATTTAGAATCCATAGGATCCGTTGATGTGGAAAGTTTCAGGTACATTGGTAGTTTGCATGATGTTTTCGAGAACCCCATTTCAAAACTCTCAGATGAGCATACCAAACAAAATAAGAAATCACCACTTTAAATTCTCAATTCATACCAGAATATATACACAATATACACAATATTCTTCAATATATAAATAACCACCATCTAATTGATATCAAGCAAGCTTGCATTAAATGTTATTTATTTGACTACCGAAACGCCTCATGACATACCTAGCACATATCATAAAGATCTACGTACCACCAAACTCCTGCAGTACTTAAGTGATAAATATCATTCAGTACTTAGCCGAATCGCGCGAGTGAAAGTGACATCCCAAGCTCAAAATCATAAGATACGAGCTCATAATATCCATCGCAATACCTGGTTTCATACGCCCATACCCAAACCGATAACCTCGAAAATTATCGGGTTTCCTTCGACTGCTAGCCAAGCGATACCTAACGATTTGTCAGCTACCTAGTACTTGAATGACCGTATTCTCATATAAACTTACCACTATAAACCACGAGTTTCGTAACAACTTCGACATCGTATCTCACACGAGGTTTTTCTAGCCTAGAGAACATTTCTGTTTCATCTAATTCGTTTTCCTGCCCAACAGCAATCTCATCTTCTGCAGCATCGTCACCCTCTAGACCCGGTGTGGTTAACCCTGGAGTATACATGACATGGCCTGCTCCCATCATCTGTTCGTAAGATCCAACTCTAGATTGTGCTGGCGTAGGCAAATTCATGCTTCCATGAGTCGATGACGTTCCAGATGATATAGCGCCATCCATATTCAATTGCTTAGAACCAAAATAATCTTTCGCTTCTTTCGTAGAGGTTTGACGTGGAGTCATCCCCTCAAAAACATCAGTGAGACTATCTCTCCGTCTTTTCTCTCGATAGGCAAGAGTTTCGTATGCATCGGCAGCTGATTGAGGTCCAACGGATACAGCTCGGCCCCGTCCAGCATGTCGGATAGATGAGATCAAACTCGGTAAGTCAGATACAGATGGCATAACATTATCCACCTTGAGTCTTGATGGGATATTATTGTATTCTGAAGCAGGCATAAAGAATTTCCGCGGTAAGATCAACCCCGTATTCTCAAAGGCTCGGAAAATATGTGGAAGTAATTTCAATAATGTTGGTTTCATGACTTCCCTCCAAGCAAAGATGACCAATACACCAATGAGAACTCGTAATATCACAATTACCCAACCCATATGATGTAGATCGAATGGTACTGTCGCTGGAACTGGAACATCCCAGGCCCACCCACCAGAAGCATAATGCCAACCTCCAAGTTCAACTCCTATCATAACCGCCGCAAATGCGACACTGTCATCAAAACATGGGCAATCATCAGCTGGTTCTGGATGTACTCTTATCAAAAGAATAATGACTATGGCGATCGTCACAGGAGCCTTCCAGGTACTGCTGTGGAGATAGTTATCAATCGCTGATCCGTATACGCACTCAACGACAGAAATGAGTGCTCCTATAACACTCCCAAGAATTACATCCACAAATCCATGCATGCCGCAATAAAGCCGTCCGAGTACGATCGAGAAGGCATAAGAATAGCTCACAATCTCTAGGGCCAGTTTCGTCGAAGGCAGCAGTTGACATTCTGGAGAATGGAGAGTAAAAAGAGCATATACAGCCACCGAGACAGCATTGGCGGAATGTGTCGAGGGAAATCCATATTCGAGTGCAGCAGAACCCGACATGGTAATGCGATGGAGAGGTGGGGATAGTGGTCGAGGTAGTGAGAACATATCTTTGATGAAACCCGTTATGAAGACTCCTGTTGCCAATATATGAACCATCCTGAATTTTAATCAGCGAATGTCTGCGAGTACCCGTCAAGAAGTTTATTACCCTCGTCCCAAAGATGTATGTCCACACCAGAACAGAATTGGCAGTACAATCATGAAGAAAGTATGCGTTCCAAGGTTGGCAGTGACGGCGAAATAAGTATCGAGTGCTGGACATCGCATCTTATCCTGCATCCAGGCTAAGTATGGAGTCTCCCATCGAACCAAAGGCAATAAAGCCTGCCGCATATTGTATCGCCATGGTGGAAGTTTGCGCTTGTCTGCGGGGTCGTTATCAGTATAACTTCAGTGAGCAATTGTGATGCGAATGTATGAAACACTCTCGACGACTCTAGGAGAAACGAGGAGATAAGTGAACGTAATTTTGCGTCAATCTGGTATATTGCGAAAGATATTGGATTGCGCAATAATTGTCTCAATAGCCAGATAACGAATACCGTAAAGGGGACAATGCGCGCAGAAGTAATTCCATGATCACTACACTCACAGTGATTTAAACTTTTCAAGCCGGCATCGATGATCTCCGTGGGCGGTACAGTAAGTGAAAACGATGGAGGTTGAGTATTGTTATTCGATTTCTCAAGCTCTAGGCCGTCGCCAGTTGGAGTCGGACACATGGATGCATTCGTTGAAGCAGCATCCATATATTGTGCCCGCTTGAGAAGTCAAAAGTCTTGTCTTACAGAAAAGTAAGAGATTGAAGTACTTGGTCAGAAGAAGGAATGGAAGAGAGGGGGGGAAAATCCTAATCAAGGAAAGTCAAAGGGAGAAGAAAAGGAAGGAAGAAAGTGAAGAGAAAATGAAGAGAAAATGAAGAGAAAATGAAGAGAAAATGAAGAGAAAATGAGCGACAGAAAAACGTGTTCTCACTGAATAATACCTAGAGCAGTGTCTAGGTACGAGTAAGATGAGAAGAGGATTGTTGTAGGTGAAGTTTACTTTAGATTTCGAGATAGAAAACACCTTTTTCTTTGCCTTGGTAGAAAAAAGCGTTAAAAGGTTAATAAGATTATCCTTAAGCTTAAGTTATCATTTTCCATGAAATCTTGGGGTTGAGTGGGATTTGATACACCACTACACACACCATCAAGGATTTAGCAATTGCTTGGTTGATTTATTAGATCGATATGATTTGATGAAAGAAGGAATGAATGAATATGTACAGAGTAGGTAGGAGTGACGGGTATCATTGACTGCCAATTTCTAATGGCTCTTGGATTAATTTTTTATCGCATGGGCTCTACTCTTCTCCATGACATTCATCAATGTGCATCGTCAGAGCCTCTCCAAGGGTTTCAACCTGAGACTATCAGCCACCAGTGAGCCTTTCTCGAAATGGGATGTCATGAGCCACACGTTAATTAGCCACCTGTATCTATTAGCTACATATCTACCAGCCACATACACACCAGCCACATACACACCCATCATAATGCCACTCACGTGCCAAAATGCACAGACCTCCTGCAATTTCTCCCATCATAACTTCCCAACATTCACAGTTTATTATTATTATGTCATCATACCTGCCACATACCTGCCACATTTATTTGAGGGTGGAGTGGATGAAGCTTGGAACCTTGTTGCCAGAGTAACCAAGGACCCATGCAAATGTAAATAACTCTAACATTCGAGTAACTTCCTATCCAGAAATCCACCCGTACCCATAACCCATTACCCATTACCCATTACCCATTACCCAATTCCCCCAATCCCAAAGTTGCTTTGCTAACCTTCTTATCAACACCCAGCCTTAAAGGGATCAATTTCAAGACTTTCTTCCATTCTTGAGATTCATATCATTTCATACTATTCATTCCATACATTCAAGCCACAACCATTACCATTCATCCAAACTTTATTCCATCGTCAATTATTTCAATTTCGGAATACAAGTACTTTTAATAATAGTAGTCATACCTAGCTATTAGGGTTATTAGGGTGTCTTGGAAAGAAACGTTCTCGTCATTGGAAAGTCAATCATTGTCTCGAACTCGCATTCACTTACTTTACTCGCACACCATCGTCACAAAGCGACGCCTCAATTCTCCAAGACCACTCGACCACAAAAGCATGGCTACGCAATATCAATCAAATCAATATTCAAGGCGTGAAAGTGTAACCGAAAAATACGACGCGAGTCCAAGAAAGAAAATTACCCAACGTCGCGAACAAAGTCAAAGATCCAGTGACGGCACGGTTAGCACAATGATGAGCAATGCTTCAACGGGAAGGGAATCGGCAGCTACACATATGACAGAAGGCCCTTCATATTCGAAAAAAATTGTGGTGGTTGGTGATGGTGGATGCGGGAAGACTTGTCTTTTGATCAGTTATAGTCAAGGATATTTCCCAGAAGTATGTTGTGCTTGAAGCTCAACCTTCGTCGGGATATGGCTAATACTTTCTCAGAAATATGTTCCCACAGTATTCGAGAATTATATCACATACCCAACACATCGGCAGACCGGCAAGACACTCGAATTGGCGTTATGGGATACTGCAGGTCAAGAAGAATATGATCGTCTCCGTCCATTATCATACCCGGAGACAGATTTGTTGTTTGTTTGTTTCGCGATCGACTGCCCAAATTCCCTCGAGAATGTTATGGATAAGGTAAGATAAAAAAAAGAAATTCAAGTCCGATCCATCATCATATTAATTGACTTGATAGTGGTACCCTGAAGTATTACACTTTTGCCCATACACACCTCTTATCCTCGTCGGTCTAAAATCCGACTTGAGAACGAAACGCTCTTGTATTGATCTCCTCAAAACCCAAGGTCTCACACCCGTCACCACAGAACAAGGAATGGCAGTTGCAAGAAAGATGGGAGCGCGTTATATGGAGTGCAGTAGTAAAGAAATGACTGGTGTGGAAGAAATTTTTACCGAAGCTATCAACACAGTCGTCGTCAACGATCGAAGCAACCAACAAAATTCGACATCATCTACTCCACCCGGTACGTCAGGTTCGCAAGGTGTAATCATCCCGAAAAAGAAGAAGCGCAGTTGTCGATTCTTGTAATAATTCATCCTTGACCAAATCATCACCATTACGCATCCCAACAAAGTACGACATGAGCATGATATTTTGAAACGACATACGAACTGCATAACATAACGAGGAGTGTATAATTGTGAAAATCTGCAACTATTGGGCAGATTTTAGGGATTGAGCATTGCATGAAATAGCATTGCGACATGATTATTAGCCTTTTTATTCTTTTCTTACTTCTTTTTCTCATCGCACTCTCATACCGCTGGAGCTGGACTGGACTGGACTGGACTGGACTTTCTCCGGTAATTCTTTTATTTTAGGCCTTTTTTGATTTGCGTGGGTTTTTTGACTTTCTTGTGAATCAGTTAGGGAATTGAGGGAATTGTGAACACAACAAACTGATTATGGGCGAGCGTATCGTATCGACTCTTTCTTATGTATAACGAAACTTTGTGGGTAGACAATGCATATCATACTCTTAACGTATACATAATCTATTGGTTTTCGAGTTTATTTTATTGTAGATGTCGTCGAACTCCATCGTTTTGGTGAAATATGTGGAAACCGTGAGAAATCTAGAAGAATGAAACGTAACAAAGGGTATCAATCATACTCCAGTCCAGAACTCCTCTTGCCATGTCATCTTTACCATGATATGCAGTCCACAAACCCCTCATAGCTTGGCACATCCAAACTTTCCCTTCCCTTGCCTTGCCTTCCCTTCCTCTCAAATGGAAAACATAAATCTATACCCGTGTATCATCCTCCATAAGCGTCTCTTCTCCCTCGTGCTCTTCGCGTTTACTGCTGCTGTGTTGTTGGTGTTGTGATTGTGGTTGTGCCGGTTGGATATCTTCTTCGGGAGAGGGTTCGGAAGAGGGGTCTTTGGCCATGACGTTTTCGAATTGGGACCAGAGGGCTTCGACGGAGGAGAATTCGTTGCCGACCTAATGGGGGGAGGGGGTTAGTGGGGAGGGGGAGGGGGGAGAGGAGAGGAGGGAGAGGGGAAGATGGGGGAGAGGAAGAGGAGGGGAGGGAAAGAGAATAATAACATACAGCGATTACACCCTCTAGAGACCGATTCAATTTATTGATACTGGAGAGGACGTGTTCGAATGACTGGAGGGGGAGAAAGAGGGTTAGTGAGGGGTTTTGGGTTTGTATTGGATTGGATTGGGGGTTGTGTATTTGGTTGCTTGGTTCTTGATTGGGATTTGGAGATGAGGAATTGGGAAGAGGGGGATGGGAGGAATGGGAGGAATGGGAGGAATGGGAAGGAAAGGGAGGGAATTGAAAGGAACAAAACATACAATTGCTATCTCCCCTAGTAAAATCTCGCGCTGCTGTTCGAAATATGATTTTTCGGGGGGAGTCGAGGAGCGGGGGTAGCGGCTGGTTGAGGAGGACATTTTTGGGGTGGGTGGAGGTTTGGATTCGATTCAATTGGGTTGGGCGGGAAGGAGTTTGGGGGAGAGATTGAGGGGAAGAGGTGGTAGTGTGATGGGATGGGATTGTAAAATGAGGTGTATGATATGTATGATATGTATGATGATTTGATGATTGGAGTTTGCGCGCGGATTACTAGGTAGGTAGGTAGGTATTTTTGGTGGGGTGGGAGAGGGGTGTGTGGGGATTAGAGGGGGTGCGGATAGTGAGATTGTTAGGAGGCTATCTAGATTAGATTCTAGACACGGGAGAAACAGAACAGAATTCAAAATTGATAGTTAGTGTAAATGTTACAGTATGATGATAATAAATCGACCACGGATGGGATTGTGAGAGTTGATGAATACTAGGTGGGATTACATGAATTCTGGGAGAATATCCAATTGTGATGGATATTATTTATACTTTCCATCTTCAGGATTGGAATTCATATAGATTGGATTGCTGGCAAAAAGGGAGGGCTTAGTTGTTGGTTAGTACTGCTTTCAGTTTTCGAATATGAATGGATGGATGGATACTAGGGGGAGTGGTTTTGGTAAGAGTGAATTTACTAAAAGTCTCTCTCTCCCTGTTTCTCTCTATTTATGAATCATTTCACTCGTCAGAAGTTTGACTCCAGCTACTTGTCATATTCACTTCGAAATTATATACCTCATATGCAGCATGCTTACTGGAAGTCCAGTTGTCAAGTCAGATGGAATGTTTCCTTGCACGTTTTGGGAAGCCTTTCGGGGACGGTGTTTTATTGTTTGTCTATGTTCTAGATTCTCAAGTCGATGTGGAGATTGATTTTGTATTGGTTTTGCAGAGAGAGGATGGATGGATCGGCTTGCTTGCTATTATATTGATCTGGTATCCATGAGGGGGTGTTTGTGTGGCGATGGGGCTTGAAATTTTTGTAATTAGCTTGTTTGACGGTGACGATGACGATGATGGTGATGGTTGGAGTCCCAGGGTGTCTAATAGTTTAATTGTATAACTGTCTGAATATTTAAGAGCAGTTAGAAATCTGAATAGTTGAATATTCTAATCAATTTCAATATATCAAGTGATTTGAATGTTCTAATTGGTTTGGGGATTTGACAATGCTTGTCGTCGGACATAGTGGACAATAGTCTGGACTATTGGATACTCTGCTTGTATGTAAACGATCTTGTTGATCTATAGAACGTTGTTGTGTTCCAGAGCACTGTTAATAGATGTATTGGATTGTTGTACTTGATTTTGAGTTGGGGAAGGGGGTGGATCAGTGATATTTATCTTATCTTGTATTTGAATTCGATTGTGATCGAATTGTCTTTCGACTGTGGTTTGTCTCTTAGATACTTACCTGGTGGATTGAAGACTTCACCAGAGATCTGATAGCTCGTGAGGAACAATTCGAAAAATATGATCCGAATAAAATGTATTATCATCGAAAATATCAAAAGCGATATATTCTCTCTCCATCATCAAGCCCCTTATCCTACTCCAATATTCCCCAACTCAAGCATCTAATTTCTCAACCTTCTCATAGTAGTTACTAAGATCATTCAATGGGTTACTCTTTTCTATAGCCGATGTACCATACCTCGCCACCTGAATGACATATCCCATATTAATCAGAAGCTCAATTCTCAACTCTTCAGGAAAATCCTTCGAATTCGTTTCGAATAACAAAGGAGGCATTTCCCATGTCAGTAAGTCGAGAAGGAATTTACGTATTAGCATTCCCTTGGTGGTATATTTCCACATGTAGGAAAGCCATGGTGTCATAATGTACCCCGTGGCTTTGGTGAAACGATAGTACTTTGTGATGCACTGATTCTTTAGAAGTGGTAGTTTTGCCATGTCGGCAAAGAGATAGAGATCGAGAAGATTGGCCATGTGGGGATAACAGAAGTTTGTTAGTGCTACATTGCTGGTGGCAATCAGATCACTGATGGTCGTCCCCAGATTCTCATTTTCCTTGGAGTCGCTAATTTTCTTCGCGTTTGTCTTTCCCTTAGAAGTGTCCAAATCGATGAGCGGTCCTTCATCGATTTTTTGCTCCTTCTCGCTAGTTTTCGCCTTTTTAGCTTTCCATTGCGCAATCTCCTCATCTGCATCGCCTAAATCCAGTTTATAAAGCCAAGCCTCAAACAACTTGAAAACCACATCATTTGCCTGTGGAAAGTTGATAGCGCTGTAATCAATTCCGCGCGAATAATGTTCGCAAGCCCCTTTAAGTAACGGAGCGTGTCGATACAAAACATCTTTTTCGAGTGTATATAAGTTTTTATGCTTGCCTACTCTTACTTGGATTGTGTTCCGCTCTATTGCCCTGGGAGTGGGTTAGGTAGTGTTCTCGCGCGCCTTGGATGTTGTGCAGTATATGAAATTTTCATGGGATGAAGGATCAATGGACTTACTTCTGCTTTTCGATTAGAGCTTTGATTTCTGGGGAATTGCGACTTGGAAGGGACATTTTGAATTATCTTTTATAGGTCTTGGGGATTTGTGAATGGCTGGTTGAATCTTGTATATTGACTTCTAGAGAAAGGTTGGTATCAAGATGGTTTGAAAACACTTAGTGAAGTCGCTTCATCCAACTTTTTGTAGAGCGTCTCTCAGAATAGCTGTATATACAAACAAGTATGTAAATCTCTCAGTCTATTCAAAAGGTAACTTATAAGTATACGGCTTTCTCTGTTGCCGTACAGAAGCGAGGAGGGAGTACGGCTTATCTCAGATTTGATGCTTGGGAATCTACGATCCTGAGTTTGGAATATACGTTGAGACATTAATTCAAGAATATCTGTGCTGCACTGTGCACACAGCATATTTATACGGCGAAATAGAGAAGTCGATTCAAATGACTTGTTGGTGTAGAAAACTTGAGAAGTGTGCGGTTGCTTGTGAATGTTTGATTTTTCCAGATGCAGAATACAAAGATTTCGCATTGAATTTAATCGTTTAGAGTATAACAAGCAGGAGATTTCAAAGGGAAGGCTCTTGAGAGTAGTGTGATTATTCTTGTTGATTAGTTCGCTCGATAGGTGACTTGTTAATATCACGTATAGTATTTTTGTTTTGTGATTGTCATATTATCATCTAGACTCCCTTCTATTCTGGAAGAGTTGTGCATTCATAAAAATTTAAATAATTATACATTTATAATAGTAATACTGAGAAACTGGGTTTACTTTGTTTATCTGAGATTTAGATGTGAATAAGTTGAATGATGACTTCTCATAAGTGTTACCCTTTCGGTTACATAACTTACAAAATTGATTTCAATTCCTCAAATTTGAATCTTGACATGGAATTGGCAAGATGAAGTAGAAAAATAGATGATCGACACAGAATACTTGTCAGGCTTGGTTCTAGGCAGGAGGCTTGGACAAAAATCTCACTTTTCGACCAGCTCTTCGGCCACCTCGTCAACCTTAGCGGCCACTCATTTTGAAAGACCCCCAGTCCAAACCTCACCTATTCCTAGCGGGAACAACCCTATAAATGCGTACTCGCCCCAACAATACCCCCCATCCACATCATGTATCAACAAAATTATTCCAGGCGTGACGATGATGACGACGACGACGACTACAACAACAACAGACGCAAAAAGCAAGCTCATCCTCCCGCCAGACAAGACAACGAGGGCAGACCTCTGTATCCCGTGATCCCCGCTTTCGGCGTCGCCATTTCTCCTGCGCATAAATATACCATACATGTATATCTTATTTTCCATCGATTCGATAACATGGAGTCTGAAAATTTCGTCGCGACGATGTCGTTTCGCACGATGTTTAATGATTTTGGGGGTATGAGGGCGGTGGATTTTTCGCCTGCGACGGAGGATGCGGATCCGCTTTTCGATGTGAATGGGGGCAATCTGAGGGGCGTGATGGTGGCGCAGAGGACGTTTATGTGTAAGATTGGATGGCTGAAGAGGATTGAGGGGAAAGAAGACGTGTATTTGCGGATTAGGAAATGTTTGCCGTGTGCGATAAGGTCGGATAGCATGACAGATGAAGAGTGGGAGGAGAGAAGAGTGAAAGGGCCAGAATCCAGAACGGAGTGGATTTTAAAGGCTGTTAGGGTGCTGAAGGAACAGAGGCTATGGGAGACTTTACCGAAAAATGAGTTTCAGGCGAGGCATAGGGAAGTGATAAAGGTAGCCTGGAAGAATAGGGGGTTAATTAGCTTAAGACGGAACCTCTCGTTCGACGTGAAACAAGCGAGGTGCTTGGATAAGATTATGGATGATGTCGGGACGGTTTTGTATTCTAAACGTGAGGAAGCGTTGGAGGGGAACCCAGGGAGACATAGAAGGAAGGGGGGTTGACGCAGGGGTTTAATGTTGATCTTATAGGAGATGATGTTTCGTAAGCAAGCTATGTAGAGGCAAAGTTGAACTTTTTGAGAAACGAGTATGTTATAGAAAAGAGTAGTGGAGAGGAGAGTAGAGATAGATATTAGGTAGACAAAATGGGTAAATGGAGGGTGGAATGAGTAGACGAGAATAGAAGGAAGTAAGAGGTATTTGTTTTGAACGAGTAGTATTGTATCACTTGCCTTAACATTGCATGATGCTTAGAATGCTCAATTCAAGCACAAGCATTCAAGTGAATGTCAAGATCTTGAATATTAAGCTCTTAAATGCAAGTATATAACCAGAGTGTTCAATAGTCTGGACTACAATCCAATAATAAAGATTATCAAATCCTCAAAATCATTTAAAATAAACCGGATCATTTGAGATTTTGAATTTAATTGAAGTATTGAACTATGTCCGAATATCTAATTGTGTTTAGATATTCAGAACCTTAGGTTATATTGTTGGATCGCAATTTGGACTATTGGGTGCTGAATGACTGCGAACTGCCTGGTGTATATTAGCGATTCCACTTTTAGCGACACAGATATAACATTTTACATCTACCTACCTAGTTAGGTATCTAAAGAACTTCTTCGAACCTTTGTGATCTTCCGATTCAAATTCCCAAAAGAACTAATTTGCTCGATTCGAAATATAATTATCTAGTCCACTAGTGAGTGTATGGACTGACGGGACACTGCACAAATTTCGCCGGCAATATCTGTTGCAAAACCGGTTCTGATATCTTGAGAATCGGTACAATGATCCATTGAGAATTGAACAATAAAATGTTGGCTTGTAGTATCAAACAATCCAACAATTGATTTATAAGAAATTTTCAAAGTAGAGAAGTGACCCGTTGGTCCATCCATCCACTGGTGGTCGGTCCGTCTGTAAGAGTTATCCGTCTCGTCAAGACAGTCCAGGTGGATAAAACTCGGGTAGTTTCTTGATAGAGACGCACGCCTTACACGTGACATGTGAGCTCGCCTTCGATCATACGAAGTATATATGTACGAAATGTTCTCACCATCATTCCTTCTGCTCCTAGACTCTTATTATCTACTCCATATATCCATTCTTAATAAGAGGGTCTCCTGTCACCCCTTCTGGAGAAAATGGTGATCAAAGTTTCCCTGTTGTTGTAGATTTTGAACGTTCCTTTAACAACATTACCTAGGTATCTAGACGGGTCTAGATTCAACACCTACCCCATACATTGACGTCCAGAGGCTACCGAGGTATTGATGCATAATACACATTCTCGATGCTCATACAAGCTTATCCAACATCAGGAACACTGATTCGATTGTTCGATACCTGTACCTACTTTAGGTTTGTACGATGAAGAGTAGTGTCGTGTCTCCCTCGATCATACCGCCCTTTCAAAGTAAAGTATGTATGGCTGTACTACGTAGATGATTTGTTTCCGAGTAAGTACCGGTAGATATGCATGCAGTACATCTGTCTTACCATGAGACGCTGAGGCTTACAGTCTGAGCTCTCATTGCCAACTGATAGCCATTGGGTTGGTAGATCGTTTATGCCTTATGTGATTGAATTGTGGTCATTGGGCCATTGCCCGGGCCATTGGATCTGGCAATAGTTGGTTGGTACAGGCTAGCTGGTCTTCCGACTTTTCGGGTGGAGACATCGAATGGTAACGCTGGGTTGGTTGTGTACATATACCTAGGTAGTTCTAGTCGCTGGCCTCCAGCATTTTGGTCACGTGTTGTATAAATGACGTAGTTGAGGCGTAAATCCCCTTATCTTCCCCCTTGATTTTTGCTTGTTAGTTCTCTTATAAATCTCGCTTCATGCAGTCAATATGCACAATGATACAATTTTTATCACTCCAATCTTCACTCCGGCCTCACTCCCCCCACGCAAACATCGGGATTCCTTTCAGTGAGTGCCACGCATACAAATATTGCAAAGGGAAAGGGAAAAAAAAAGGAAAACAACCTCATGACCCTCAATTTGTAAGACGATAAAGCTAAGAAGAATTTCCGATATTTTGGAGAAGGTTAATCCGTTCACACTTCTTACTTTTCTTTCGAGATTCCATCCATAAATTTTATATTCTGTTACTATCACATCAATTATAGACGACGATACTAAAAAGGTGTACATTACTACCAAGCAACCAAGAAACCAATCACGATTCGTCCCGTTCTAAGGGCCACCCCTCTAAACTCAATTCGACCCCTCCAAGCTCTTCTTTACTTTGTTCCATCCAATACCAATCACCAATTCAACCTTGCATCATAGTTCAATCAAGGAACGAACCCTAACTTTCATCATTCTACGAATCATACTATAGACCGCACTATACTACGGGCCAACCCGATCCTATCAAGATGGATTATCTTCCCATAGGTCTCCAAGCAACGGACGTTCTCCTCGACAAACATTTTCATAAAATTCCTGATAAAGCATTTAGGAAAGAAACTTACATACCGCGCGTTCCTTCCAAACTGAGCAGGAAAAAACGTAGGGAAAAAGAGGAACGAAGAAATTCACGAGATCAAGGAGAAGATCCAGAGCGACGAAGAGATTCAAGAGATGAGCGAGAGCGAGAAGATTGGGAAAGAGGAACACATAGACAAGAAGAACCATATAGCAATCCAGAAGTCGAAGAAGCAGGCTACGAATCAGAACCCGATTATACATCTAGACAACGCGAAAGAAATATGAGGGATAGAAAGTGGGAAGAAAGAAGGGAGAGAGATAGAGATTTGAGAGATATTCCAAGACATAGTGGCGCGGGTACAGGTACAGGTACAGCTTATGGATATGGGTATCCTTATGAAGAATCAAATCGATCCAATTCTCCACCATCGCAGATATATAGTCAACAACCACCACGTCTTCGTCCCGAATATCTTCCAAAGTACGGTGCTCCTCGACCATTAGACCCTGCTAGTCCAAATCCTTATTACTTTCCTCCTCCACCCATAGCACCATTCCCAGATCCATTCGACAGAGATGACAAGAGAGGAAATTATGATTCAGATGAACGATACGAAAGAGAAAGAACACGCAGACCAAAACCCATTCAAAGAAGTAGCTCTTACGATGATATCCACAGTCAACGCAAATCTTATCCCTCAAATCCAGACCAAAGAATATCCACTCGTAACGCCAGTCGCATACCTCGATCTGATCATGGCGAATCTAAAGATTCACATGCGGGTAGTGTGAAAGATCGTGCCGAACGCTATGGACTTAAAGATGAAGTCAAAGGATTATTTACAGATTCATCAAAAGGAATAGCAGTAGGAGCGATTGGAGCACTTGCAGGAGGATGGGCGGCGGAAAAGTTTCAAGAATCACAGACAGGGAAGGACAGAAAGGATATGGGAGATCGGGCAAAGATCTATACGTTACTTGGAGCTGCGGCGGGAGGATTGTTGGCTAATGCTGTGGTTGATAAGTGGCAGGATGGAAAGGAGGAGACGAAGGAGAAACAGAAAAAGTGGGATAAAAAATACCCGGATGGGAAGATTGATGGGGATGGAGAGAGGGGGGATAGGGATGAAGGAAGAAGTGGAAAGGAAAGGAGAGATTCGGTCAGGAGTCGAAGGGATAGGGACAGAGATGATAGTCGGGAAAGATATATGGCTTATGATGAGAAGACTAGAAGAAGTGATGGAAGAGGTTATGAGGGGGGTAACGATGGATATTGTTGAATTGGGGCTTGATGTTACTCATGATATGAACGAAGAATATGACTCGTCGGCAATTTTGGAGATGTGATTGGAAGGTTACCAACGAGCGTGGATTTGTTACTTGAACTTGGATGCAACCGCACTGTATTTTATCACGAATTTACGAGATGATGAACTTGGGATGTAGAGAAAAGAGAGAGAGATGGCAATGGAAAGAAGATATAGGATGGCATGGAAGCGATGATTTAATCTGATTTACTTGGTTTAATTTGCTATTCACTTGCTAATCTGCGCGCATGAATTCATATAATTGTTTATAATACTATCGCTTAATGAAATGATTGAAATGATTCAATAGTAAATCTACCTTCCTGGTAAATTGCTCTTTCCTAGAGATTCATTTCGCTCCTCTACTATGAAGTAGAGCGAGACACCCCACAGTCTCCCCCCACACCCTTACAAACCTCTCCCCCAATCCTACTAAACCTTTGGCCTTGACTCATAGTCACTATACCTTTTCTTTCTTTCTTTTCATTTTTTTTTCTCTCGACACTTGGTCAAATATTCGCCACGTCAATACCATCTCATCCGTTCGAACATACCTGTATACCTGGTTCTACCTGACGCATGGCCTCCGGAAATAGTAAATATAAATATACGTATTGATGCCATGCGGCAAGATGAAAATGATAATACAATAGCTCGCGATTTCACTGAGGAGCAAGATGCTGGATGGTGATTGCTCGAAGATTTAATGAATCGTGCTTTAAAGTATCGAGTTGGTCAGTTATTATTTACCGTTTTTAAGAGAATACATTGGATGAAATATAAGGCGCTGAGCAATGATTGCAGCATCGAAGATCCAACACTCCGCTGCTGTCTGGCTTTGGACTGGATTAGAAGACCCACAGAGGGTTTCAGAAAAGCAATACCCGATCAAGCCTGAGCTGAGGTACTTGACTGGGAGTCATGTCGTTCAACATTGCGGGAAGTTTCAAATAACATGAACTGGCCTAGATTTTCGGATGTGTCTAGGACATACGCCCTGGCTCCTTGGCACAAGGGAGATTGTATTCGGACCAGCATCTGAGTTGGGAGCACATGAACATTGGACGGTTCAAATAATGATTCTAATTACTGTGAGTTTTGATTTGCAAAAATGATTCTGGTGTTGTTGTGATCTACTAGGCAATCCCAGACGACGCTGAAAATCGAGTATCTGAGAAAAATTGGCGGCAAGGTCAATTGTTGGGAGACGGTATGACTAGGGTGATCAAAGTTAATTACAGGACCTTTCAGACGGCGTGCACTTATAGCAGGTCTTTCAGAGGCAAGTACATTCTACGAATGGCGTCATGGCAATTCCAACAAGCTCGACTCACCCGCATTGGAGGACAAGGTTCAAGTTTTCCTCGCTCATTCATTAGAAGCCGATAATCGCATGTGCGATATTAACGTATATGCCGTCGGTGCTGTAGATTAAGCTTTAATGTATCAAGTAGCGAACTCTCATCCTGATGTCTACACGGACGATTAAATCATCACCCGAGAAGAACAGAAGAAATTTCTGGACTCACATGCCGAGATAAGCGAAGATTAGGAAAAGTTCGAAGATATCCCGGAGAATAAAGTGCAGCGAAGTACCAAGAAGTCACAAAGGTACAAGCGACGTTGGGAAGTAAGAGTGTCAAATTCAATGGTTTGGCCTTAGATGATATGGGTGATCTTGGCCTAGTCGAAAGCAACGGCTCTAAAGAAGTCGATCTTGGTGAAAGATGTGAAGTCGAGTTCGATGACGAGGTTGAAGATAATCAAACCAATAGAAAAAAGAAATCCGCATCGTTTTCAACACGTGGAGATGGGAAAGATGTTAGAGTGGCCAATCTGAAAGAGAATACTATGACTTCTGAGCTCACAAAGTCATCTAAGCTTACAAATACCAGAGATATTCCATACGTGCACCATATACGTTGTCTATTGAATTTTCTTCTTCATTCTCATGCTGCAAAACGCGAACTCATGTTTGGTGACCAGACCAGTAGAGGAATACTGAACACGAATCATTGGAATGGCCGGTCGCGAAAGTCTTGAAGATTCAAAACTGGCGTATCTATTATGCTCGTAGGACCGAACCCTCTTTCAGAAAATCTTCCACATGATGTGGTCGAAACACCCGAAAACCTAACTCATGGTGGTGACTTCGATGAGAGGATGAAAACGGCGAGAAGCAATCCGTAGATCACTTCCTTGAGTAGTGAAGAGGGCATGATTGCAATGAACAATTGGCTTGAAAGTTTGGAATAGTACATTCAACCAACCATTTTCGGATAATCGTGATTATTTTATGGATGACGGACAATTTTCGTAATCTCAAGGCCAATTAGAGTGAGTGGATGTATGTTGATAATGATGAACATGGCTGAGTAATAGAGAGCTATTGTGCTTATTAGCTGTTATTACACCGTTCTTCTTATTTTATAAGGTCTAAGTAAGTGTCCTCCTGGCTATCGACTTTGCTTAGGAGTTAGCTAGTAGTATTCCATACAATGAGAAATTTCAATCAGTAGGTATCTTAATTGTATGCTAAATGCTAGCCAGCTCTCCTTTCAATTCCAAAATAAAAGTGACCGACACCCTCAGAAAGAAAGAACTTGAGCCTTGAAATTTCATCTATTCATGAGTTAAAAATACTGGTTTAATCGAGAGTTAGATAGATATATATATATCTTAATAGTAAGTAGTACAGCGACTAAATCAATACGTTTTCATTTATTTATTATTTCGCTTACGCAGAGCCCCACTCACTTCATTAATATTATTCGTGTAAGAAAAAACAAGCGGAATTTGATTATATTTATAATATCTTTAGTACTTTCCGATATTACTTAAATAACAAAAGAACATCTCTTTAATTTGATTAAATATATATAGATCATTTATAATCGATTTTAATTCAACTATTTCAGAAGATTCAATAGAAATTTGAATGATTAGATCCCATTTGTTTTTTTTCCTTCAACATATAGCCGTGATCTATCCCCACCAAGCAGCCCACACTTACCATTTTTCTTATGCCTAGTGTCATTACCCACCCCACTACCAAGACACGCCTCTGTATATTTTCAAATAACCTGCTCATCTACAACAACAGCAAAAACAGGCGTTTGTGGTTTAGTGGGATAAATTCATTATTAGCTGGGTTTATTACAGTATCCGTAATGCTGCTTTGAAGTTACGGTTTCTATAATACGTGAATTAGTTGTAAATTTACCGGTTTACTAAAATATGCGAGCTATACAAGAACTAACCCCCATAATCATCAACCGAAACTGGTGTTCCGTAACAGGGGCTCATTAACCGAAACTAGTGTTCCGTAACAGTGACTTCGAAAAGTCGTCTTGATTAGCAAAACCCCTATTAGACAGCATATCTTGCATACTAGGAGTACATAGTATTTTGTTACTAAGGTTTGAAATTATATTCTGCAATTGGTTCTCTATCCCAGAATCTTTACCCAATGTTAAACTCCCCGTTGGAGAAGACCAGAATATGACGGACACGCCAGGAAATATCATTTTAGCTGCAACCCAAGAGAAAAGCCAGTACGTGGAAGATGTGCCAATGAGCGGTCCAGTCTCGTCATCACAATCACACATGGCGCCTGCCACTATCGAAGAAGACTAGGATATGCAAGAAATATCATCGATCGACTCAGTAATGGAACTTCCAGAAGAACCAAGAAGATCAATGCCAATCCCATTATCTCCAGACATACCACCAACTGTGATTATTAATGTGACAAATAACAAAATAATAACTTTGTGGTGAGTGATATGAAAGTCATAATTCTTAACTGAAAAACGATAACTGACCGGCAGCAGAATGGAGGAGTCGATTTCCATCAGCCTCTGTACCCTGATCTAATTCTACCCCGAGAGCATAGAAGGTCACTGGCTCTTCCAGGAGATTCTATAAAATCTGAAGATAAGATTGATCAACCTGGAACAACATTTAGTCCACGATCTCGTGTATCTGGAATCTCAAACGATAGCCCGAACTCTTTTCAACCGGAGATTTTGATACAAGAATATAATGGGATGATGACTTAGGAGTGTAAAATTAAGATTCAGGATATCAAATCTTATCTCGAAAAACGTCATGGTTGGATTTTAGTGATCAACACACCAAATAATGGCTTCAAGACTATCCCAACCAGTAAATTTCTTGAACGTGTTCAAGTAAGAAGCGCTAATAATGAAGTGTATTACTGCTTTAAGCGTAAAGCCTATGATAAGATCAAGAATCAACAACGAGTGAAAAAGTCTCGGAAGCCTGGAGGCCTGGAAGACCTATATTAATTAGAAAACATATGGAAATGAAACGGGAGAAAGGGCTAGAGAAAAATTTAGACCAAGAAGCTCTGAAAAAAGAGCAGCCAAATCAATTGAAGGGAACTGCTATAAAAGAAGAAGAAAAGGGGAAGTCGAAAGAAAAGGAGGAAGGGGAACAATCGGAGCAATCGAAAACATTTCACAACAACGCAGAAGGAATAAAGTAGCAAGAAGAGTTAGAGAATCCTTTAATCAAGCAAGAAGTAAGAAGTTCTAGCAGCAATACAGCTAGATGGGATGAGAACCAGCAGAGGCCTGATATTACAAATACCAGCATCCTTGGCAGCTCATTAGAACCGAATCCGAAACCAATTATGAGCCCAACAGGTGTATTATCTTCATCACCTTGATTCCTTTATGGTACAATGAAGAGGAACCTTTCAAGACCTATTCTTCGAAAGGAAGCAAGTCTCGATGGGCAAGCACGAAGACCTGTCAATCAATCGATGGGGGGAAATGAAATCGAGAGCGGGGGACCGCGTGGATCGTTAGATTTGTTTTCACTTGATGATTAAATACTGGTCTGATATCCTTCTTGCCCCTCTTGTCGAATTTTCGCCCCTGAATGTAAAGAACCGTTGTCCGGAGTTTCGTCGACATCCCAATTTCCCAGAGCTTGAGCCTTTTCACCTTTTCTATAAACAACTTGAGGAGCACAGTCTTTAACTCTTCTCGAACAAAACATTATCTACAGGCAAATCTCAACATATGCATAATGAATTCTTGTATGTTCGTAGGGGTATCTTACAATCGCTTCGTCCTCATATGCCAGGAGAGTTCCAATCACACTCTCATACCTCAAAGTCATCCCGCAGATTACATGGAGGATTCCCAGTTATCCGGCTTTATATCCCACATATGTTTTCTCATACGACTAAGAGGAAAGGCGTTGTTCACTGGTGGTCCCTGTCACGGCGTACAAAAAAGCCGGCTTCAACAACTACTTCGGCTCGGGAAACTCTTCACTTAACCAACTAGCCGTTGTACACTTCCCAGTCTTCTGTACTGTCATTGTCACCGGCCTTCTGCTTTTACACCCTACTTTGGGACTATCGTTCGGTAAAGTTCTGGCGGTAATCTTTGTTCGACAATGAATCGATGTATTCCGGATCGTTCTTTGTCTTCAACAACACAAGTGCTTCCGTGACAGATGCATCAAGCTCTGACTTTGATGATGGCTGTGTAATACAAGTCAATGTAGAAGAGTGCGATGGCATCGCGATATTTCATCGGTTGCTAGAGGATGGTGTATCATTATATTTCTGGTTTCCATGTCCACAAATAATGTGGAAGGAGCTATAGTGGTGAGGCTGGGAGGTATGGTGGGAAGAGGTGAAAGGATTATGTTGGTAGAGGGTCGAAGATATGCTGAATGGATGTGGGAGAGTTACGTTTTTGATACTCGTTCATATGTGTACAAGAAAAGATCCCTTTAAACTTTGCAAGAAATAGATTCATCAACAAGAGGAAGCAGAATTAGCTAGAGCAGAGGCGATTACGGGCAAATTTTCTTTGATCTTCGCTATCGTCTATGCCCTACACCCTTCACTATCTCACCCTGTGAAATATGACACCCCCATGTATCCGAGGATACCAATCAGATACCCTTTCACTCCCTAATTTGAACTCTTACCATTTTGTCTAAGGAATGCATAGACCGACCTTCCAACGGAATACAGTCCTAGGCCAGAATAGGCAATTTCATATTAAGTTAGGCTTAACTTACATAAAGGTCTAGGCTATACGTCCAATAATTGTGTAGATCAACCAGGAATCCCATCTTCTTCGATAGGCGGTCCCATTTCGAACTTAAATTTTTCTTTTCTGATTTGTGGCGGGCTGCTTGGCCATGGAGTTATCAATATATACGGCATGATGCATCTCAATAAGGATTTTCTATCAACAGCTGATAGTTGGATGTACAGAGAGGTTATTTTTAGCTACGATATGAGTATCGATTTGGATAACGGGTTTTTTGGTAGAGGCAGTCATCACAGTGGCAGTTGTGTACTCAGGTTACGGGAGTGCTAGTGGCGAGTTACCAAAGGGAAAAGAGGGGTGTTTAGAAATGGCCAGGGCTTACAGATGTGTGACTCAACCCGGAAGCAAAGACGGTACCAGCAACTCCGAGATTGAAATAACGAGAAGAGTACAGCTGGTAGATGAAGGAAAGGTGGATAGACGGAGTGAAAGGAAGAAAGGTGTACAGAAAGTGTATATAGAAGAGGAGAAACATGAGCCCATTGGATTATGTTATCCACCATCATTAGGCAGATTGTAGGAGTCATTTCTGGCAGTAGTAATTCCATCACACAATAGAACAACGAGACAAGTATTGAGGAGGAATAAAGTAGCAAAGAAGGGAAGAGTTGAGGAGATTCGGACATAAGAACAAGTATGTTAGAAGAAAGCGAGGAGACGGCATGTGAGATGGAGAATCATGAGGGGGGAAGCATACGTACCGTGGGACGAAGCGCAGAGGTGATGCGGAAAAGAAGAAGAACAAAAACAGGAACCTGTGGCGCGCTAAAAATAACGAATCCGAGGAAGCAAGAAAGAAAATGGATGTGCGCACCAGTGTACGCGAGGGATCAGGAGAGACAAGTGACATTCCACTTTCTCTTCCACTCTCACAACCATTTCTTACCAACCTCGATCAGAGGGTCCGAGTGACCGAGCGACCTCGAATATGGTTGTTGCGTCAGCGCCAACTGCTTCTACAATCTCGAATCATGAACGGTGTCATCGCGGGAAGGTGCCGTGTTGTATTGTATAGGAAATGTGATTTCATTGGTATCTATCTAGAAAGTGAATAATACATGGTTCTATTGGAAAACTGAGGAAAGGGGTGCTAGCTATAAAGCGTAATTCTACGTATAGGAAGCTTCGTCATAATGACGAACCACTCGACCAAGTTTCGGATCTTCTCATAGATCATAAGAAGCCGATGAAGGAAAGATCATAGAATCGGTTCTCTGCTGAAGAGTATTTGGGCGCGCCAAGATAGCAAGGTGATGGTGCAATCTACCGGTCGTAGGAGCTTTACCGGAAGCCTTCAAGTACCAATAATGGACCACACCAGTCCACACCTCTTTGTCTATAATATCGGATTCTGTAATAGCCGTCCTGTAATGTCCTAAATCTCCCAGACATTGGATCCAAGTATCTTAAAAACAGGCACTGTCTCGTATACCAAAGCCATTATTGAATATGCCAAGTAGGAAAATGCAAGCATATGATCAAATGAACTAGGTAGTCGATGTCTAAGAAATGCTAAGAATGAATGGATTCCATATTGCCACAGTCTAGCAGGCATAGAGTATTCTGATGCTAACAGGCGGAGAGCGGGGCTAGCAGATGGACGCTGGGAGACAAGAAAGAAATCGTGATGCTCGTCGAGTAGAGAACGATGCAAAGCAATCAGAGCTCGCCACTGCTTCGTGTCTAGTGTTCCCTTTGAGGCTTTTTCATGAAGAGACTCAATGCACTCTTGTTCCAGCTTTACGAGACGATAGAATATGGGTTCGGCATATGCCATTTCTGGCTGAAGAACAATATCGTTCTCCTCACTCTGAGATTTGGACTCGATATTCAAAGCTTGTATAGAAGTGATATTGGAGGGGTCGAAGGATGATCTTGGGAATAGTGGATCTTGAGTAGATTAGGAAGAATTCAGGGATTGCTTAGCGGCTGCAGAGGCAACATTGTTCTGCGGTGTTACGGGATGTGCGCCTTGGATTGTGGTTGGAGACGGAGATGACATTTGAGCCTAGGGCTTCGAAGTCTGGACAAGGTTAAAGCAGTTTTGGAGAGATCAAAAGTCGCCCATATGAATGACGAGTCTTTATCAAGAGTGCTCAATTTAAACGAGAGATAGATTATCTAGTAGGGTTTGGGAAAAGAGTGTTATATTCATTTATGTATCGTGTGTCGTAATTTGATGTTGGCGGATTGGAGTCCCGTAGTCTCGTAGCTCGTAGGTCTCGGTTATTATACACCACATAGCTTCTCGTATTTCTACTACCAGGCCCCACGGCCAAGAGTAGCCATTGACGACCGTCTCGATATCTGCTACTTCGAGAGTTACTTCCGGGGGCTTGCCCGGACGAAAAGTAAATGAATTGGCTAGGGATTTTCCATAGTTTATTGATCGCACAAATATCGGAACTCATTACTCTCCCGCCGCCCCCCCCATGCGCAAAGGTTACACTTTTACGTGCATGGCCCGCAAAAATTTAACCTTTGCGCCAGGGAGGGGGGAGTAAGCGCTTGTTAGCGAATATCCAAGGATCTCTAGAGCTCCGGAACACAAATCTCCTTTCTGTGTGTCGGGAAAACAACACGTGATAGTTCTATGGAACAAACCTCGTTTATGTGTGTCCGGAAAAAAATGATGTGAGACAAACCAGGCTTCACACAAATGAAAAAGGTAGCCTGTCGTGGTACGTGGCATATACCAGGACCAGCTTCCCCGTGTAGTGCGTCAGACAATCCGTCCATTGGAAATCCCTTCCCCCACTGATTTCCGAGGGAAGCACTCAAATCCATACACCAGCGAAATGCATCAGATATCCCCTCGAATCCAGAAACCAGCGAAACATGCTCGAAATACCCTTAAGACTCACCCCCGATAGATTCAAGAAGTTGGAGCTTGAGAGAGATCACGATCAAAATCGAAGGGTCAGTCACCTATCGAAGGCATGCTGACTGCTTTCACTTCGAAGATGCCTAAGGATTGCGACGGTCTCGATTGGCTTCGTGCTCTCATAGGGTAGGAATATCGAAGATTGTAGTGGCCTCAATCTTCTCAGGCCTGCCTTTGTCTCAATATGATTCGTTGGTCTCTCGTAAGGCTTTCGCCTCTATAGGGTAGAGCTCGCTTGCGCCTTTGCATAAAGGACCCTCGAAATGCTTGGAGATACCCTTCGATATACTCTTCGATATGCCCTAAAATCCTGGAAGAGAATGCGAGATCCAGAACATTGAGACCGTCGCAATCTCCAAAATCTACATTCCGCAACAATTTAGCCATGAGTTTATGAAGAAGTATTTGTCCTTTGGCACACCTCATATAAAATCGCTTGCCCACTCAAACAACATGCGTGTGATTCAACAATAGGACCGGGGCGTGATGCAGTGAAAGTTGTCATCAAAATCAAAAGGGCCAACTGAACTCGTGTGCGCTCATGCAAGAAGTTCACCGGATCATTCATCCACAAAAACCCAATCAAGTCTTTTAAATCGATGATCTTGGCGATAGGCTTCTTACGAGTTCTTGTACTCAATCCGATTTCCCCGCGAGAGTATTTCTTATAAACAACTATGATATTTGTTGGCGAGTCACAACACAAAAAGAGAATGGCATTATTGTAATACCACTTACAGTCTGAAGCTCTCTTATTGATCCCATATCCGTATCATGCTTTCTCTGATATATTGCTTTAAATCGAACAGAGTATTCAATTAATGATGATACGGAAAGACGATCGCCCAATTGTCCACGACGCTCCTTTGCAAGCATAGTAAAAAAAGCCTTCATGACTCCTATCACCGGCGTCAAAGTAGGTTCATTGATTCGTGGAAGGTAACTTCAAATTCAAGAATACGTTATTTGATTGGTTTCCCAAAAAAAAGGGCTCAGTTGTAACTCACTCTAACCAATACTTCCACACCAGATCATGACCTCGTTGGGTCGGACGAGCGGATGATAGAGGAGTTCTATCTGTTGTGCCATCCTCAAGATCAGCAAGTAATCCGTTGAGCGAGAGTTTCATTGGCATGATATTAAAAATCTAGAATAAGGATCGAAAAAAGGCAAGATGGCGAAATCGAAAAGTGAAAGAGGAAAGGAAAAGAAAAGGAGGCATCGTCACGAAATGGTGAGAAAGGCAAAGAAATCGAGGTTGATCGTGGTTATCTAAAATTGGAGTCAGGAAATATAAATTATTGAAGTAAACCGAAACAAATGAAGATGTCGATGTCGGTTTAGGAGAAACGGTTTCGAAGAGCGGCATGGATTAGTAGATATCAATTCAAATATTTTGGGGTAGGATATCAAAAAGCGTTTGTGGTTTAGTGGTAAAATCCATCGTTGCCAGCAATCTCTTCTTTCATCAGAGGAGTGCGAAACAACCTCGATGGGCCCCGGGTTCGATTCCCGGCGAACGCATCTGTTTTGTTTTTAGGAGTGACGGGAGATCAAGGGGTTCAGTATCATTAGTTAGGGAATTGAGGATTGTTTGCTTTTTGCGACTGTGTATAGTTTTGAATGGATGGGGGCGCTTCATTGAGGTTTCCTTGTCTCTTTATATAGAGATAAGGACTGCAAACCTTTATGAAGGTCTGTGCGAGGGCTCATGTGTACTAACAAACTAAGTTATCCCTTTCAGCTTTTTAGATCAAAAATCAACTATTAAAGGTACACATCAAAAGAACATTGAAGATTAAAATTTGAATCGTAATCAATCTATTTACCTTTCAAATCATCTGTTAGCTTTGTTCAGACTTTAGACCTATTATATTATAGGTATTATCCCCTTCAACGTACAGACTTTTACAGAAGTCTGCCGTAAGAAGTCGAAAAGCGACGATTAGACTGAGAATGAGTGCGTTCGTTTAGGTTTGTGGTTGAGAGAGGATAGCAAGGAGTGGTATACCGAGAATCAGAATGATGATGTTGATGATGCATTGATATGAAAGGTGTTACTTCCTTTTCTGAGTCGAAGACTTTCGGCTGGACTTTGAATGAGATGGTTGTTGATATGTATGGGTTGTGCTTAGAGGGTAGGTAATCGATGATGATGATGATGATGGGGGAGAAGGTGGTTTGAAATGGAGTTTGATTGGATTTGTCGACTAGTATGGTGAGTAAGTCATTATCACTTAATAATCCTGTTACATGGCGAGAGAAATACACCTAATGTACTTGCTGCAACCAGAGGATGATAGGTTCAAAGAATGGTGCGTTTTTTGATTCAAAGCACAAATTTTTCAATATTCATAAACCCTTAAACTTAAGATGTTAAAAAAAGATTTCATTGACTGATTAAATTTACTGGAGTGTTGAGGTTCCCTGTAGTGACAGAATCAGTACTTAACGAAGTAGACTCTTCGTTATTATAATAAATTCTTTAATCTTTTAATTATATATTAAATAAATCGTTTTAAAAGTATTAATATGATTAATCTAAATCTTTATAGTTTATGAAGCTTATTTTAATTAATAGGGTCTTAATAAATTTCTTGAATTTCGAAAGTTAATTTTTGTGACGATTGTATTATTTAGAATACTAAGGTAAAGAGCTGAAAGAGCTCTTAAAAGGGAAGTAATAATATACAGGATTGTGGATCATGTGGGTCTCTAAGCGATCCACTAATATGACAGGATCGTCACAATTTTAACTTTTAGTTTAAGATAATTACTTTCAAATAAGAAGATTTATTTATATCAAAATCAAATCATATTATTTATTTAATATATTCTATATTATATAATATAATAATAAAGTTTTTAATTAAAAAATAAATTAAAGGTAAAATAATACAATTAATAAATAAATCTTTCTTTAAACTTTCAACTAATACCTTTTATTCATTCTAACCTTTACACTTACTTCCTTTCTCCTCTTCCTTAACTCTCATTCACCTTTATAATCTCTTCCTAATCTTTACACACATACTTTTCCATCTATTTTTTCTACAATTCTAATATTCAAAGATTTCAGAATCTTAAAGATTTTTAAGAGCCCTTATTTTCTTTTTTTCTATTAAAATTTAATAATAAATAGATTACATTTTGTACTAATAATATTCATTGTTCACAATGAAAGAGAAGGCCAGTGGAATGCATGTAAAAGTGACTATGTAGATTAATTATACTAAGGTAAAATCTAACTATGAAGTGGAAGTAATATATACACAGTAGCTAAGCGCACGTGCCACAACTTCCAACATTCATTATTAATAAAATCAACATTTTGTTAATAACAAAAGAAAGATTAATATTATTATATATATAATAGAAATTTGTATGGGAATTTATAATGAATTTCTCTTCGTTTATAATATTAACTTTGCCACTACAGGGGTTCGTGTCGATGGTATACATGATTTGATGTATATAAAGATGTGGTAGAAGTCTACGAGTAAGTAAATATCGACACACTCGTTCCCTTGCTATTTTGGGAATTTATTTGCGGCTAATTTGTCAATGTGTCAGTTTGGCTTTCATCTTTTTGACTTGCATTACTCTGACTTCCATTACTTCAGCTTCATCACTTTGACTTCCATCCCTCAATCTCCCCTCCCCAATCTACATCAATAATCTGCAACTTCTCATTACCAAGTACAACCCCTTCTCTATCAAGCCTCGCTGTAATCCTCATCCATTAGATCCCCAAATTCCCCACAGTACACAAGCTCCAATCATCAATCTTTCCATTGCAAAGCTTATTTCCTTGATCACTCGCAAAGACCATGTTCTAGCAGCTGTATAAAACCGTGTCTACTGAGACTCTCTCCCCGCTTTGTGGTATACCTCATATTTGACAGCTGAGATAAATCTGTGTTGTTTAGTTGTGCAATGTAGCTTTCTCTGGCATTTGCATTTGATATAGTAACTTCGAACATATCAAACGAGATGTAATGATTTCATCCTAGAATCTCACTTGCCTTCCTCTGCTGATGACAGCCCATCACACGTACTTATCTCAAATCTGGACCAATTCTTTGATCTGCATTTCGGTGTGATGTATCTCGCCTAGTACTTGATCCGTAAGCGAAGACATATTATCACCATGAGGTATTAGAAGAAGAGAGAAACTCAGATAATATCAAAGTAATTGAACTTAGAGGGACTATCTTTGTGGATTTCTATACTCAGGATGATGATTTCCGACTTGTAGCAGTAGCTATCGTTCAAGTATAGAATCAAAGACCCTACAAGAATTATTTATAGTAAGTTCAGTACCCCACTTTTCAGCCACCCCTCTTTTCGGCCACCTCATAAATCTCACCGCTCTAACCAACCACCTCTCTTCAATCTTTAATGATTTAATAACCACTAAATCAATTAATTCAAAAATTTGATATATTGTTAATTATATTATGGGCAATAATTATACCAAAATGAGTGAAATGATGCTACAGCTCGCGGGAGGTATGGAGTTCAGTTCCAACCCTGCGATAAAGAAGACACTCACCCTGCGTAACATGTGCCAAGACTATAGAGATGGAGGTGGAAGAGAATGGAGAGGGACATCTCCACCTGAGCTCGACGGCGCAGTGGAAGTAGGCAGAATGTGCAGAATGAGATCCTTCGACAATTCCATAGGTGTGCCGCATAACAACAGCTTTACAGGGTTCGATATGGTAGATCACGCTAACGACATCTCATTATTCATGAACTGTGTCAGAGATGACATATTGACTACGCTGGCCGCCAAGAGATTATGGTGTCCTACGGGGTTGAAGACTGTAACCAATGAATCCCAGAGGTTGCCTGATGACTCTGCGCTAAGGAGGTGGTTCACGTACGACAGCCAGGTGACGCCGGTTACGGGTATCATAGGCACGCTTCATAACAACACTGCAATAGACCTAGTTATACCGGAGGATCCCAAGAAGCCTGATATCAATGCCCGCGCTTTCAAGGATGTGTACATGGGATTTTACTGCGCGGGTCATACCTCGCATTCCGACGATAAACCTGAAGCTCTTTATTCTGAAGTGATATTATTCAGAGTTAAACTTTTTAATCTTACTTTTTGATAATATACAAGAAAATTCCTTTTGTTTATAGATATAAAATTAAATAGTGAATTTAATTTATTGAATTCATATTGATATTTATATTTTAGAGAAAAGAATATCGATAAATCAAAAGGTTGTAATACATGTAATATATGTGAAGGAAGGAATAAAAAGTGTATATTGTTTTTGAAGTATTTAAGTATAAATTGAGTGATTTCGTGGCTTCTATACCTGTCCAAAATAAGCAATCTAGTCTCTTTTGGGTTAGAAAGGGCGGTTTGAGGAATAAAGTCTTCTTTTAGCCATGCTAGATCTGTTTCATTAATAGTCCACCCATTTTCTATAGCATGGAAATGGAGGCTGTATTCGATAGGCGGTCCCGTAACTCTAGTGGACGATCCTAACGTTACAGCAACTTCCCTCTCTCTCCTACAGCAATTGCAAGCGAATTGGACGCGGTAAGATTCAGAGCTAGGGATACCGTTTTGGATAAACTTCTGGATATATCACACAAGGGGTTCCCAAACTCCAGCAAATACCCGCCGTATTATCTACCCAGAATATAGTGTGTCATCGCAGGCCAATGACACCCCTACACCATTCCACCCAACGCGCATTTTAAAAACAGCACAGCACACCACGTGTACGGACAGCGCGCGACCCCTCTTTGTTTTCTTCTTTTGTTTGTTTCTCTTCTTTGTGGCCCTTCTTTCTTTCTTTTCCTTTCGCCATCACCGCGACAGTGGTAGTGCCAGGTCCAAAGGCTTACGATCGCGTGTCAACGCTGTAACGACGCAACTCTGTTGCGCCGATTACAAGCTGCGGCCGCAATTGGAATATGCAAGATTCTGACATCGCCGAGGGGCACAGGCGCCACCACGGAGGCTCTGCCGCGCTGCACCCCCCGACACCGCCGGCGCGACACCGACAAGCGGACGTGCGCCTACACAGAGATAATATGGCGGGTGCTAGACTGTATTGCCATAGGGGAAGATACTGTCAACATTGTTCGTGTCCTCGCGAATCACGTGTCTACCGAAGACAAGCCGAACTCATCAGACATAGACAGGACCTGTCTCGCACATTTTGGCCCGCGAACGCCGATACCGACCGAACGTTGGAAGCTATGAGAAGATATGAAGTGATACTGCGCTCCATGGCGACACTCGACTCCACGTCGGCACACCCCACATAAGACCCCCATTTTAAAACTGCATCCGTGCCGCGAACGACAGCGCCATCCTTACAGCTACGCTGCGTTACATACCTAACTGGCTGACGAACTTCATGATGTCGACGATTACATCTAAACAAGTGGAGACTAAACCACGAATCACCCTACCCAACGAAGTAATACTGCAAATACTGGACAGCACTATACTCGGAGAAGACCTTGTGAACACTGTGCGGGCACTGGCTGGACACATGGACATGGAGGGCAAGTTGGGTTTGATTGCGTATAGACAGGATCCTGGCAGAATTTTTGCGGGACTGGGTGTGGACACCGATGAGATGTTATATGCTATGCGGAAATAAAAGGTGGTGTTGCCGAATGCGAGGGCATGCAGTTACTACGACCCTAAACAAGAGTGCGGTGATGATTACAAATTTGCGTGCTCGTCCTTTCATAACGACATCATAGGCTTTACATCGTATCTGGAATCCGTAGGTTTTGTGTACGAGAGGTGTGGACCGTGTGACATAGTAGGATGTGACGATGAGAGCGGATTCTATATAACAGGACACATCGATGTTCGCGGCAAGAATGTCACGGTGTCTCTCGAATGGACAAATATGTTTTATTCGAGCATAGCGTTCGCCTACACTTGTGACACGAAGCATTCCTTCTTCGTGACGGGGTATTGCGCCGTATCAATGTACAAAGGCTTGATGTACTTGGGCATGGCCGCTTTCACCTTCGGCAGACAGACGCGAATGTGCATGGACAGAGCGTACCTCTCGTACCGCACATGCGACGTGTTCGATATACCAATGCCGGATAGACGCAAATGGAAGACTGTAGGATCTGACATCAAGAGGAGTATAGGAGACAAAGACTGCAGCATAGCATCCTTCGGGCGCTACGTTTCGATGCGCGATGGCGAGCCTCCCCTAAGCGCCTATATGAAGCATATGACAATGTTAACATGGTCGAACGTGAGCGGGAAGGTTCGAGTGCATCCTATGAAATTCGATGATGTTGTCGCTGTTGAACCGGCCATGGGGACTGAGGTAGAGATGACTCCTGTTACCTTCAAATCGCCAGAACTTCAGCTTGCGATGGACGGCAACATTAAGGATTGCCGCTACGATCCCTACTACATTGTCTGAAAGCGCCGCACCTGTCCGAGATGCACCACAGCCACGCTGCTTTTAAAACACTCCAGGGAGTACACAAGTACAGAAGATTGACAATGTATGCTCCCAGGGTCCGGGGCTTCTCAAGGTTGTGTGCAGCGATGGCGTTATAGGTCTAGGCTGCGACTTCGAGTGCCTCATATAGTCAACTACACCACCCCTTTAAAAATTTCAATCGCGCGCGATGCGCAACTTGAAGTTGCGCTCGTCACACAATACCGACCATGAGCGCTTGCAGTGACATCGAGGCTCTATTAGCCTCGCCTGAGCGGTCAGAGATACTAGGCGAGCTAACCACCTACATAAACAGATGCGCTTCCCAAATCAACTCCCTTAGCGTCTTCAGTAAACCGGTGTCGGGCGGCACGAAGGTTCGGTGCACAGAGAGGTTAAACGGAATAAGTGATATGACGGAGATCATGAGGATGATGAACGAAAGGATAGAGCACGATATAGAGGTAATATACTGCAGCGACTAGTGAGGAGCACACGTATATACCACCACAACACGACCCCCTTTTTAAAACAAGACTGAATACGGGAACGCGGCAACGAGTTGCATTATATACACACTTGATAAATATGGAGAACCGGCGATTATAACCTGCAGGTATACACAAGGACTATACAGATATGGGCATGCGCATATCGCAAAGGGCATCTGCGGCCCACCTGGAATCTCCTCCGTTTGAGCACTTCATACACTGCCGCGACTCTCATCTGGTAATGCACACGGAATGCTACAGCAAGCAGACCTCTCAACTCTACGCGGAGGACGCGAAGACAGGCAGAAGGGACTCTATCAGGGACAATTACTGGATGATCTATATGGACGAGAAGGTCAAAGCTGAAATGCGCTCCATAGCACAGTGGGTGATCGCGCAGCGCTCGCTTAGTCCCGCAGATATGATGGGAATACTAGTCGACTGGTCAGCGAACAGACAACGCGTAATGATAAACCTCGAGATAATGAATGAATTCGACAAAGCACACAAGAACGCATCTCGGGAGGGAACAAGCAGATGAAGAGAAACACAGCACGACGACAGAAACGCGAACACGACCCTATTTTTAAAAAACTTACGGAGGCGATACCACGCTCTGTCTCCTTGGTCTGAGACCTTTGAGGTATTTAAATCCCAGCACTTCCACGACGCCGCTTCTGCTGATGAGCATAGCCTTGTGCATTATTTGATCCGTACTGAGGTTAGTATAAGCGTGTACTATTGATAGAACGTCTTGATAGTCGGCTATGGTGGGCTCGTCGCATTCTTCTACATGGTCCCTGACCGCTAGCCATTGCAACTGGCATATTGTGAGAAGCATGCTCCTAGGCGATATAGGCACATACGTATGAGAGAGTCTTGTATATATACTCGAGCATATGAAATCTAATTTGTCTTCCTGTCTCTCTGATGGGGCCACTTTGGTTAAGATAGAGGCCGTAGATCTGAGATTTATAACCACAACTCTGCGCAGCACCGCATCGCTTAATGTCTCTGAGCTTACTCCAGGGTCGGATAGACCGTTGCTTGCCATCATAAGAGAGCATGACAGCTTGAACCTGTTCATACCGTCAGCTATATAGTCGGCCCCTACTATGCTCTTGAGAGCGTTTACATCTATAGGTCTGGTATCTAGGTCAACGTCCGCGCACGTGACCATCCTTCTACCTACAAGCTCTGACTTTACTTCTGGGCTGAGTGCCGAACTATAGCTTGTGAAGGTGCCTGGTGGTAAGATACCGCAGCATCCTTGCATGCACTCCATGACAGTATTCAGGACGGTAGTCTTGCCTGTGCCACCCGGGCCGAATAATATTAGCGCGCGGGGCGTGCCTCCGGGGTCTACGATGCTGTTGCCTACATGCCATCGTAATGTGTCCATGTCCTGGTCCGTATCAAACAGTGGGTACAGAAAAGTTTCTATATTGCCCGCTCCGGGCCACAGCCACTGTAAAGGCAGCTTGACGAAGGTTACGGGGTATATAGACGCTTGTGCCGCTCTGACATCACTACTCCTGGATCCTGGCAGCAAGTCCTCGCAATCCCTGAAGTTTAGAGTGTCACCATCTATGGATACCGCGAGTCTCCTGGTACCTATGCATACGCTCTGTGGCATCACGCCGCATGACCGCTCGCCGCAGTGCTTGGTTAGCCAGTTGGCATAAGGCGACATAGCCTTCACGTAGTTTGTCGAAGCATTCTCGATGCCTATAGACATGCACACCGTTTTTGCACCGGTGTCCGATACCAATAGCACCCAGCACCTTTCGCCCGCGGCAAATATGTAGAAATTGCCATTCCATGTCATGAGATAGCCCTTGTTGACAAAGAGCCTTCGCATCGCATCGTAGTGTTTAGAGTCGATGGACACATTGTCCCAGGCATTGTCGTATCTCCATACGAACTGCCCTTGCGTCTCCATGTTGGTACATCGTTCAACTCTGTTGATGCTTAGTGGAAGCGCACTCCGGACTTACAGAGCAGCTCCACTCTGCGGTCTACGGTGTCGAGCTCGGCACCTGCCTTAGCGCATTTGTCAGCGTGGCTATTCCCTTCGTCGCCAGAGTGTCCCTTAACATGCACATACTCTGTGGTTCCGCCACACGATGCCCTGTCCTTCATTATGCGGAGTATGCATTTTATGGTGTCGGCGTTGGCAACAGGCGCACCGTTTCCACCCAGCCAGTCGTTCTTGACCCACGATTTGCTCCATACACATATAGAGTTTATGGAGTACATGGAGTCCGTGTGTATAGTCAGTGACGCAGTACCCACGTTAGTGCATAGCACGAACAATATAGCATCTAGCTCGGCGGCATTGTTGGTCGTACACGTGTCTCGTAGTTTGACCGATACGCCATCTCCACCTCTTGAGGGATACCATAGTCCTGCGCCACACTTGGTTTCTTGCTTCCCGTTACCTAGGCAGCTGCCGTCGGTGTATACATGAACGTTGGACTGCATAGTGCAAACTGTGAACATTCTACCTACGGTAGTATGTTTTCAGTGCGTATCTCCGCCGACGCCGGACAACTGGCGTTGCACCAGACACTATTATACTACTATTACACATATACCAAAAAACTGTAAGACAATTAAATATGGCATATTATCACGCATACTCAGAACGCGACTCAGACCAAGACTACAGATGGGACGCAGATGAATCCCAGTGGGGAGAAGAAGTGGCCCCCGAAGGCGAAGAACCGTACAGAGAGGTTCGGGTTTGGTTTGATGGGACACGGGTTCACGGCCACGCACCTCGCGGAGATGATGTGCCGCCATGCGAGACACGTTTACGGAAAATACTCTAGAGAAGACAAGAAATCCAAGAAAGTGTGGAGGAGATTGGCCCGAATATTCACGGAGTTCGATGACGTGGTGAACGGCTACGCTGTTGTAGTAGCCACGCACGAAGACTATCAGAACTACAATCTTAGAGTAGCAGCATTTGGCGCTAATATTAGGCTAATGATACACAGTACCTGCAGATTCCTGCAAAATGCTATGGAAAGGCCTACTGTCGTTGACGCGGTTAACGTTATGGCTAGCATGCAATTCCTCGACGCATTGGAATCAGAACTAATTGACAACAGGATTATAAGCAGATTGCATGATAGAATGGTCGCGTAACTATATTATGCCTCCGTTATTATGATCATGTAGCAGCACACTGCAGATGAACATAACTGCGTTCCCGTGCTGCGATAGTGTCTGTTAGCTGTCGTCTCTCTGTTTCCTTTGTGCTCGTGTTATTGTGTTACGCTAAACGAGTCGCGCGCTACGCATATGTTATTGCACGCATTATTTAAAACAAAATTCAAAACCACACTGAAGCGACGCCCGTCGCTGCACAGCACTACTTGAACATGGATCCGCCCGTTTCTATCGATGCTTTAAGAGCTATGTTGAACGACAATATTTACATAAGATGGGCAGGAGTAATACCAGGCTCGCCCGGCGACTGTTCTGTGTACATAACCAATCGAATAGGTCACAAACGTCTACTCAGAGTAAATGTAAACTTGGGTGACCAGTACGTATACCACCCTACAATAGAGAACCACGACCCAGATTTTGTTGCCAACCCTGAAGGACCGTCGTGCAGAGGCCCTCGCATCACGGACGAACAATGGGCATCCGTGCTAGGCGTCAATGTAGGAGGGGCATGCTTTCCAGGAGGCGGCCGCATACCCATACCTGTGGAAGGCTGCGCGTGCGGTTACGATATAGAGGTGGATATATCTGATCTCAAAGGCTCGCAATTTCCGTTGCCCGATGCACAGACGCGCATATTGTCTATAGCATTGTGGTGCAGCTGCGGATTTAAGTGGCTGTGCTCGACGAAGAAGGCCAAGGATCACGATGTTGTACACGCAGAGAACAACACCGAGCTTGTATCTTTGTTTATCCACGCCGTGCAACATCACATGCCTTTGTGGCTCGTGGGGTGGAACTGCTTCGGATTTGACAACTTGTGCATCGAAGCTTCTGCGTCCTCCGAGCATAGAGCGATGTTCAGGAAGACCGGTATCCGCGGTCCCGCGGGTAACAAGCCAGTGTATACCATAGAGATACCAGGTGTGTACAACGTAGACCTTTTCGTGTATCTGGACAGGACTAGGAGAGGCACGTTCCCTAGCCTAAAGCTCGGAGATGTGGCGAAGCAGCTCGGCGCGCCGCTGAAATCTTCTATGCCAACCATGGTTAGTGATGACGACATAAATGAAATGCTAGAGTACAATATGAACGACAGCATGGTCACCGTGAAAATATGGGAAATTACAGGAGTGGCAGCGGAAGTGCTCAGTCTGTGCGTAGTATCGTGCGCTCCCATACATGACTGCATACGTTACGTCACAGGGCAGATGTGCGTAACCCTCGTGGCATCATAGTGCATAAGCGAAAGCAAGTCCTTTAGCTGGGGGACATGCGAAGGCGAATCGGGATACACAGGAGGATATGTGATGGATCCCATGAGAGGAGTCCACAGTGATGTGGTGCTGTGTGACTACTCCTCTATGTACCCTACGATAATAACAAGTTGCAACGTGTCACCCGAGTCCATAGTGTCGCACAACAAAGACTGTGTTTATGACGGGAGAGTAGATTGGAACGATAGTTGCGTGGAGATCCATACGACGAGCGGCAGAACCTCGTTTGACTAACGTAAGTCATGGCGTAATGCGTCTAATGGCGTAATGCGTCTAATTGCGGGGAACCACTCTATTAAAATCTCAATTACTCAACAATCAACTATAATACAATCTCCAGTATCACTTTCAGATTCATCTTCAACTTCTTCTCCAATATCCTCTTCAGTTTCAGTTTCATATTCAATTACTTTCCCTTTCCCTTTTCCTTTTTTCATTGTCTGTACCTTAGTAGCTTTTTCGACTTCCACTACTGCATCACATAATTCTTGCGTAGAAATATGAAAATGACCCTTCAAAACTAGTCTCTTTCCTTTCTTACGTATCGTACGTTTCTTCATAATAGCTCGTAAATTATTCGCATCGTGTTGGTGAACAATACTTTGAGCTCGAAGTTGCTCACTCCCAATCGTCAATTTTCGAATGTATTGACGAACCGGGGTTGAAAGAGTCGTATCATTTTCAATTGTTGAATTTAAAAGGTTATTTGCTGTTTGTAAGATTGCTACATCCGGGGGTGAGCTATTGACGAAGACTTGGTTAAAAATATCAAATTGGGTTGGTTCTTTGGATATTTCGACTTCGGGGGTAAACTCTCGACCCAGTGTACGGAACACTCTCTGTGGATTAAATGGATGTAACCCAGCTCCCCGCCATGCCGATTCGATATTTTGATGATGGCATACGTCGGCTCGAGCTTTAATATATGCCTCCATCCATTCAATCTTTTGTATTCGTACAAGTTGAGCTTGATTCAAATCAGAAAGTGCTGCGGTGAGCCGTTTTTTCAATGGACCGAAAACCGCAACATCAAGTGGCTGAAGCAAATGCGAGGTATGAGGAGGAAGTATAAGAAGTACAATTCGATTTTGAAGGCAGTGAGCTATAAAGCTTCCACTAATATGAGAATCGTGGCCATCGCAGATGAGAAGCCGATATTTGCCACCTGCTTTTGCACGAGTTGCAGGTTCGAAAACGCGTTTTAGCCATTCTAATCCATGAAGATTGCTTGTCCAGCCCTTTGTATTTGCTGAAAAGAACCAGCTACCAAGAACTTCCTTCGGAATCCAATTTTGAAGGACATTTTTACCTTTAAAAATCCCGAGTGGTGGAAGAATGGATCCATCCGCACAAATACACTCTACCATTGAAATCCACTCTTGACGGCCTGGATGTGCTTGATGTTTTGTACGAAGTGTAGAATCGATAATAATTCGAGTTGATTCCATTGTCCCAATTGAATGTCCAGATTCATCCATATTATATTCGTCTTTCTTCTCAATTCCATAATCCTGAATCGCTTTTTGATACGCGTCAAACCAAGTACTACATGTTTCCCTGGTTGCACCATCCATTCTTACAGATTCAATTCGACGGCCAATAACAACTGTAAGATGAGGATGTCGTTTGATAAATCGTGGAACCCATTCATGACCAAGAAGGTGTTGTGGTGGGAGTTCAAGGGAGTCAAATGAGGGGCAATCCAAATTATAAGTCCGTTTTGAACGTAACTCCTCAGCCAATTCTTTTAACAACTGATGGCCTGGTGAATAGCCGCTAATTGTCAATTGCTTTATCCACTTAAGAAGTACATTCTCTTGTACAGCAGAAAGTTTCTGTTGCGATTGACGTGCTTCAGAACGCGACGAACCCCCTTTGACGCGTCGCGTCACAGTATCTTTAGAAAGCCCCAGTTCTTTTGCAGCTTCATATGAAGACTTATACTTTCCATTTTGAACTCCTAATACTGCTTCAGAAAGTCGAGATTCCATTTCCTGCACTTTTAAACTTTTTCGACGGACCATTATTGAATTGTTGCTTTTTTGATGGGGTGGTCCCCCACAATTAGACGCATTACGCCATGACTTACGTTACATCAATAGCGCAACTGTTCCGGTGCTTGTCAAGAACTTGGTGGCAACGAGAGCCAGATATAGAAAAGCGCTACCTGCCTACGGCAATGCCCTCAAAGTGTTATCGAATAGCATGTACGGTACGTGGGGTCACGACAAGTCTGCGTTGTTTTCCCCCGTGTGCTCGAGCTCTATAACCGCCATAGGCAGGTGGTGCCTCACTGTCGCGTCTGCAGTGTTCGCAGGGTGCGGTATGCAGGTAGTGTACGGCGACACTGACTCTTGCTTTGTCAATCGATCTGCCGTATCGACCACCTTGTCCGAAAGTAGGAAATATGATTATTAGAAAAGCTAGTTTGAATTATAGAATACTTTGCATTACTTTTTAATGTTATATAAAAGGTTATCTTTCCTATTAAAAAGGTGCTCAAAATATGTAAAAGATAGCCCCGATATAGGAGAAAGTATTAGTCGAATGGATATTAGTTTAAAAGGTTTTGGGCATTAGTCCTATATATCGGCAGATATGAGAAATTGGTGAAACCCTTTTCAAGGTGAAAGAAAATGAGCCTACACTTGGAAAACAATGGATATATAATTTTCTACTTAGAAATCCTGAAATTCGAATTAAAAGACAAATCAGAATCGATAATCAATATGTTTCAGGTACTATTATCAAAATTATTAGCAAGTTCTTCGAAAAGTTGAATTTGCCGGCTATTATTCATATTAAGCCGGAAAACAGATGGAATATGGATGAAGCTGGTATTATGGAAGGCCAGGGTTTGAATGGTATAATACTTGGGAGTGCTGAGAGATGCTTTATTCAAAAGAAGCAGCTTGGCACAAGAAGTTGAACCTCTTTTATTGAGTGTATTTCTACTACAGGAAAAGCACTACTACCCCTCGTTATATATAAGGATAAAAGTATTCAATAATAATGGTTCTCTACTGAGCTTGATATATATAAGGATTGAAAGTTCTATGCTATAGAAAATGGGTGGACTATTAATGAAACAGATCTAGCATGGCTAAAAGAAGACTTTATTCCTCAAACCACCCTTTCTAACCCAAAAGAGATTAGATTGCTTATTTTGGACAGGTATGGAAACTATGAAATTATTCAATTTATACTTGAGTACTTTAAAAACAATATACACTTTTTATTTCTTTCTTTATATATATCATATATATTACAACCTTTTGATTTATCGATATTCTTTTCTCTAAAACATAAATATCAATATAAGCTTAATAAATTAGATTCATTATTTAATTCTATATCTATAAACAAAAGGAATTTTCTTATATATTATCAAAAAGTAAGATTAAAAAGTTTAACTCTAAATAATATCACTTTAGAATAAAGAGCTTCAGGTTCATGGTCTTAAAACCACATTAAGCCTCCTTTGTTCAGATTATTGCTTGAAAATAGTAATAAAGAAGTTCAGAGTTTGAATTCGATTTTAGATAATGATTTCATGCTTCAATGAAATATAGATTCATCTTTGATTCAATGGGAAACGTCATAAAAAGCAAATGATCTACGAAAATATATATTAATATTGGAATCTGAAAAAGAAACAGACTTATACACTCGTTGATTACTCTTTTGAAAGATTCAAAAAGCATTTGATACTAAAAACTATGAAATTATAAAGTCTAAACATCGAATAAAGGAATTAGAATATAAATTAGAATGTGTTATACTTAAAAAAAGAGGAAGATTAACACTAGCCCAAATTCGAAGTTTTCTGAAATTAAGGCTATATACCAGGCTCAAATCGAAGCCAGTGATCGTGAAATTGATAGGGTGGACTTTGATAGTATATATGAAACTGATGTTACAGAAGATTGTATTATAGTTGGATAATTGTTAAATTATTGAAGTTTAAAAATTGTATATATATATTTTATGAGGTGGCCGAAAAGAGGGGTGGCCGAAAAGTGGGGTACTGAACTTAAGAAGCGAAATATATTTTTCTTCATTTATTAGTTCACTTCAAATTTTATTACTAGTCCCCTGATTTAAAACTAGAACATTTCATCACGTAAGTAATATATATTGAAATAAAATAATAACCATCACAATTACAAAGGAAGATATAAAATCTTCAAAACACATAACTCTCGAAAACTTAGTATTATCATGAGTACTACTTATGCATATAATCCCAACACTCCCCCTTCAGATCTCAGCGACCAAATCCCATTACCCTTACAACATGGCCCGAGAGAACAGAATGAAGCATCACCATCATCATCCATCTATAGCAACCAAGAATTAGCTTCTTCGTCTCTCATGCCAAGTTATTGAAAAATCCTAACCAGAAGAGCTAAAGACTACAGAACCCGGAGAAATTTCCAACTCAGCACAACCAGCATCTACTCTTCCAAGAACCAAACCCACTGTACATGAAGGAAATACCCTTCCTCTCAAAAGGAAGAATTATCATGCCATCATCTAAAGCCAAACCCTCAAATAGATTAATAATTCCATCAGTGGGTGCACGGACTCACGGGACACTCAAGAAGAAAGCATAATTTCTCACCAAAAAAAGCGATTTTAATAATTTAATCAAAATTCAAATCATTATTGAATCTTTTCGAAATTGATAAATATAAATTTTAAGCATATAAGTTTTATTTTTTGAAAGAATCAAATAAAAAATTTAAAAGTTTAAGCTTTTATAATTGATCATATAATCTCTTATCAAAATACTTAATAAGAAAACGTACTATTGAATTTTTAAGCTCGAACCTTTGTTTTTTCAAATCAATCTTTTGAATATTATTTTTTGATATTTAAAAAATATAATATATTTATTTGAATAATATTCAATTAGGATTAAAATTTCTATTGAATTTTGAAGTTGATTGATTGAGGTGTGAAATTGTGCTTTACTGTCACGCTG